AAGATATAATATTATTAGATATCTTTAAGTTGGAATAAATAATAAAACTGCTTGCCATAATTTTTTTCTGTTAAAGTGTTTCAGCATTTTCTCTCGTTTCGCAAAAATTGATAAAAATCAATAGCCTGACTATTTCATTCAAAGTAGACAGTATGTAGATCTTGACATTCTGAACATGTTTGCACTTGTCTGGTTTTTTTCTACCTATTAGGGTATTCAAAATAATACACAATACTTGCATTTTCCCCTTAATTATGTTGATCTTCAGCCGTGGCAGCCATGTTGGTTGGCCAGTGGAACCCCAAGGATGATCGTAAATAGCTTGGTTTAATTTAGCCCAGTAGTTTGAGCGCAAATGACTTTTGTATAAGTTAATGGACGTCAAACAACTTATGCAAAGTGCTCCGAAAAAAAATAAGGAGATGTGGTTTGATTTTCAATGAGACAATTAACTATCAACCAGAGACCAAAGTATGAGGATGTAAACAACTAATGTAGGGACTACATCATGTAGCATACCCATACTGTTATTTATCAATGGCATGTGATTCAATTCAAGAGAAAGCTAATGGCATGATTCCAGGGTTTTTCCTCAAAACATTATAGTAACTATGTAATCACCATTTTAATCGGAGTCCACATAACTATAACATCTTGGAGGGTTATCTTTTATTTTTTGCTTGAATGCATCAAAGGCCTCGGCAAAAGAAAATATACGAAAAGCCTTATGGACAATTTATTTCAAATTGCTGGAATCACAAAGTTTGTCCTTCAGTCCGTTAAATGCTGCTGTATAAAAAAGGATTCCTTTCATCGAAGGAAATTTATCTACTAAAGATTGGGAATGAACTGATGTATGGCTGAAAAGAATTATTGTCTTGAAAATAGATTTCACCAACTTTTAGTGCATTTATTGCGACTTGACCTTTAACCATCTGACTAAAAAAATAGGATCTTCTTTTTTCCAAGTGGCATTCTCCAGCTAAGTTTGATGAAGGATGGACAAATGGTTCAAAAGATAACATCCAAAAACCATATTTAATAAATTTTGATAGAATTTGGACATCTGGTTCGATAGACCATAAGTGGAAACCAATATTTTCCCCAAAACTTCATTCTATCAATACTTGCCTAAACCTTCAACATGTTGGCCCTAAATTCAATAGAGATCTTCTCCAGCCCATTAGGCATTTACAAACCAATTTAAGTTATAATTGGACAATCATATGGTTAACAAGAATGTGTCCATAGTACACGGATGCCCCATTCGCACTATCATTTTCTATGTTCAGTGGACCGTGAAATTGGGGTCAAAACTCTAATTTGGCATTAAAATTAGAAAGATTATATCGTAGGAAACATGTGTACTAAGTTTCAAGTTGATTGGATTTCAACTTCATCAACAACTACCTTGACCAAAAACTTTAACCTGAAGCGGGACAGACGGACGGACGGATGAACGGACGGACGACGGAACGAACGCACAGACCAGAAATCATAATGCCCCTACTACTATAGTAGGTGGGGCATAAAAATAACATTAAGAAATCGTTCCATTCATACAAAAGGTGACCTTAAACTTTAACATGTTGACAACAAAATCAATATGAACCATCTCCAGCCAATGAGGCATTAACAAACCAATTTTAGTAATAGTTGAAAATATGATTTTTTAAAGATAACATTCAGAAACCAAAGTTGTTTTCAAATTTCATTAAATTAATAGCTGCTGTGACTTTGACATTTGAGTCAAAAATAAAAAGGTCTTCTTCACGTTATGGAGAATAATAGACCATTTTTGACTTTCAGTTCAAAGGATAACAAAATAATTTATCAATATCTGTTGTGATCTTGACTCTAACATTTGATCCAAAAATTAACAGGGGTCTTCCCTGATTGCATAGGGCATCACTGAACTAAGTTTAGTACAATTTGGATATATAACATCAGGAATATAAAATTTGCCAATATCTGATATGACCTTGACCTTTGATCTATGAACCCATATATAATAAGAGGTTTTCCACACTCAATGGGGCATTATCTAACTTACTTCGGAAAAAGTTGAACATATTGTGCAAAAACATACATCTGGAAACCAAAATTTTGCCCAAATTTTGGCCTATTAATAGCTGTGTGACCATCACTTTTGACCCATTGACATAAAATTCATTAGGGGTTTTCCTATGGGGCATTATCAAACCGCCAATTTTGGTTGATATTCCTAATGGCTAAAACATTTTTTTTCTGGAAACCAAAATTTTGACACCCTGCACACAAACTGACATTCTTCAAAATTTATTACGGGGGCCTCGGTGGTGGGCGTATTACGTTTCCGCATTTTTAGCAAAAATCCAGTTTCACGTTTCCGTATTTTCGTGCATTACTTTTCCGAGATAAATACATACAACCTTTCCACATTTTTACCTGTATTTCACCTGTAAAAATGGTAATAATGATATATAAGACTTTATTTTATTATAGTATACTTGTGTAATTTGGTCTCTTGTGGAGAGTTGGCTCATTGACATCATACCAAATCTTTGTTTTTATATCAACCCTGTCATATGCTTAACTGTGTATAATTTGACCGTTAGTTTTTTCGTTTGAATTGTTTCACACTTTTCATGTCAGGCCTTTTCTTGACGACTTTACAGTATCGGGTTTTGTCATTGTTGAATGTCTTAAAGTTGCCTATGATTGCTTACATCCACTTCACACTGATTTGAACCCCGGTGGATCACAACTCTTCGTTTTTATATTATAAACCTGACTTTTAAACTCGTGTTTGCCTGATCATGCATGAAATAGTTGTCACTGGGCATAAAAAATAGCAACAAACAATCCATCAATTTACACTTGTGTTAAATAAGAGGGAAACCATTTGACATTTGTTTCACACTTTTCATGTCGGGCCTTTTCTAGACGACTTTACAGTATCGGGTTTTGTCATTGTTGAAGGCCTTAATGTTGCCTATAATTGCTTACATCCACTTCACACCGATTTGAACTCTGGTGGATCACAACTCTTCGTTTTTATATTATAAACCTGACTTTTAAACTTGTGTTTGCCTGAACATGCATGAAATATTTGTCATTTAGCAACAAACAATCAATCAATTTACACTTGTGTCAAATAAGAGGGAAACCATTTGACAAACAGAAGTGGCATACATCAAAAATTAAAATGCGGAATCGTAAATAACCTTTAACAAAATCAATGTAAAAACAATGCGAAAAAGAGTACTATAAAAATGCGGAAACGTAGGAAATTTAATGCGGAAACGTAGTGCCAAAATGCGGAAACGTAAAACGCCGTCGGTGGTCTAATTAGTCCAACTACTGAATCGCTAGCCTATCAACACTGAGGTTATGGTTCGAACACCCCATGTGGCAGGTGCACTCAGCTCCAATCTTAATTGACAAGGATTGTCAGTTTTCCTGACGAAGGTCAAGGTTCTCTACGGCTTCCTCCGCCAATTAAAATGGACCCCCACAAAATAGCCAAAAGCATTGAAAGTGGCATTAAACACCAATCAATCCTTCAATCAATAATATTAATAGCCAAGTTTGACTTCATCTCAACTCTGCTAATAATAGTAGTTGAATTTAACCTTGAAGCAGCCTTTCTTGAAATCCAAAATGAATGGATTATAAAGGCAATTATCTTTACGACAAAATAGAAAGATAAAACTGGACTTATCGATCTGATGAGTAAAGCATGTTTCACCTGTTTTTTATACTTTGTTCTTATGTTGTGCTGTTACACTACTGTACCAGGTTAGGTAAGGTTGGGCGACTGCCAACATGTTCAACCCCGCCACATTCTGTATGTGCCTGTCCCAAGTCAGGAGCCTATAATTTAGTGGTTGTTGTATGTTGTTGTGGATCAGTTTTTTTTACATAAATCAGGCTGTTAGTTTTCATGTTTATATTGTTTTAGATTTGTCATTTTCGGGCCTTTTACAGCTTGCTGTGCTGTATGGGTTTTGCTCATTGTAAAAGGCCATTTGTAAACAATAGTTGATATGTGTACATCATTTGGACTGTGGTGTAGAGCTGTCTCATTGGTAATCATATCACATCTTATTTTAGTGTAAACAATATTTTGTTTAGAAACAGATAAATAAATACCTACATCAATACAATACATGGATTGGAAAACAAGTGACAAGTCACTTATACAAATTCCTCTCCTTTTGAACGGCAAAATTAATTACAATGGACAGAAAATGTACAATCATATAACATAATGTCATATGAAAAGAAAACAAATGTAATGGAAATTAACATCTAATGCAGATAGTATTTTTTTAATATTGGGTGACAAGAATTATTTTGTGCATCTCTTAGTTTTCAATATATAGTCTTGGACAATAAGAAAGTTGTTTTTATTGTCTTTATTTGTAATGTTCGGATCACAATAATACATCTTATTTTAATAATGATATAGAAACCATGTGTTTCAGATATTCCATGGACAGTTATCATCATTTGATTCTCGTTGTTTACAAATAGTCCCTAGTGTGGACAGTGTATAACTTGCAAATTTTTTTTATGCACCTTTCAAATTTATTTCTTTATATTCTATGCAATAAAATAATAAGTAGGGTGTGAAATTACATGTAAATAAATTTGGAACATGAATATTTGGCTAAATCAGTGATTTGGTCCAGTTAGAAAACGTCAAAAATTAGTTTGTCTGAAGCTGTCAAACTGAATTAAAGACCCCCTTAACATAAAATTGCTAATATTTTGAGTTAGAGGCGATAGACTTTTCTATAATTTTGATATAATTTGTCCAAAAAGTAGTACACTACACTGTAAATATCTTTTTCGGATAGAGCGAGTGCGATTTTTTTAATTTGCATTTTTTGCCTAAAAGAAATGCACTACGAAATAACTCGGGCCAGATGAACAGACAGATGAATGAGACTGCAATTAATTTCAGGAGAATGTTATCCATAAAAATAACAAACTTAAAAATAAAATAAAAAATATCATTTAGAAAATTTTTTATTGCATTGTATTTCGTTTGATGTCAGCAAAAGCATAAAGTGACTAAAGTCTTAAAATGTAACATATTGGGTTCAAATGCAACTACAAAACAAACAAACAAACAAACCACATTTTTAAATGAAATGCTAAGTACAATAAAAATATGCAATCTTTTTTTTGTCAGATCAAGACACAAGTTAAGTTGTCAATAATTTAAGTAAAATCTTGTTTGAAAAAAGGATTTAAATTACATATATCAATTAAAAAAAAACCTGGTATTTGATATTGTGGTTCAAATGAACAAAAATTTAAGCAAAACTTGATCCAATCACAACTTCAGATGTGTACTAAATATCTAATTGATATCTATTAAATAAATATATTATATAATTTGCTTTAAAAATCTGAATCCTTCTGATGTTTGTAAATGTGGTGATTGTGAAGCATTGCAGCAGTAGACAGAAAGATTCTTGCTGAGGAAGTCCTGTGAGACTGAAGCATTGCAGCAGTAGACAGAAAGATTCTTGCTGAGGAAGTCCTGTGAGACTGGAGCATTGCAGCAGAAGACAGAAAGATTCTTGCTGAGGAAGTCCTGTGAGACTGAAGCATTGCAGCAGTAGACAGAAAGATTCTTGCTGAGGAAGTCCTGTGAGACTGAAGCATTGCAGCAGTAGACAGAAAGATTCTTGCTAAGGAAGTCCTGTGAGACTGACACATAGGGACCTAACTTTATAACTTAACAAATTGTGGAAAATATTTTTATAATTAATTTTTTTTTGCAAAATATTAACATTGTATAGAATATAGTAAAATTATGGAAAACATTATAATGATGTAGAAAATGTCTTTTGATTTACATTTCAATAAATAATAATAGTTAAAATTGGACATTTTAAAAATCATAAATAAATACATGTAAAATGAGATCAACAAACAAAAACATGTCAGCAATTTTAAAAAGATACAGACAAGCAAACAAATAAATTAACTGTCGGATTTCACATAAATTTTAAAGCATCTCCAAAAGAAATAATCAATATATTCTTATATTTTAATTTGTTGTGATGTATTCCGATAAAAAGATTACCATATTACATAGACATTTTTTTTCTATTATGAAATCAAATATTAACTGCGTCACTGTAGTTTAACAATAACATCACCACTGTTTTAGTTTCATGTGTAGCAGTAAGTTCAAAGATAATTATGGATCAATTGACAACAGGCAAGATCTGGTATTTGAGACAACATTAAGCTTCAATCTGAACACTTAGTGTCAAAAGTTTTATTTAAAGTCAGCATGTCACAAAACAATAACATTTGAGCTTTTATAACCAACTTAAATTGTCTGCATATCCCTCTTCTGTTGAACATTAAACAAGTTTGTGAAAATTCAGTTTTTACAATGACATACCTCTCAACGGACCCATATTCTGCAGGTGAAACCCGTAAATTTCACGTCTAACTCGGGACTTTTAAAATACCCGCCAGGTTGTTAAATAAACCAGGAATTAGACATTTTACCCCTTTTCACCCATATTCTTATGCCAGGAGACTTTTTTGCGTATGAAATGATAAGTTTTCACAAGTGATTTTCCTCTGAAATACATTGTGTACTACCAAATCAAAATCTATATTATTATGTAAAAATTTAATAAATTCTATAATTGACAGGGCTCTAAGTGGGTATAAAAAATATTTTCCTTACTAATGCAGTCAATCAAATAACAGTACTTATAATAAAAATACAGACAAACTGATATAGTTAATGCTGAACAGTTACTGTATTCTAAATTTCAACTTATATGTTTTTTTGCCACCATGCCAAGAAAAAATGCCTTTTTTTAGCATAATTGTTACATATTATATATATTCACCAACAGAAAACTTTAGTCATAATCATATATGACACTCTAATCATGCTATAGTAAATATTTAAATTACCTGAAAAATACAGCCCATATACTAATATTCCAATAACCTCCATTTTCAAAATTATGAAATTATGATACATGTATACAATGAAAAAACATCAACCCAACTGTACAGCATACCATGATATGTCTATAATATGTTGGGATAACCACTTTAAAATAAAGTTCTTACGAAGATCTATGAATGCAAAGTTCATAGTTCAGGTCCTTTTGGTTATATAGCTCTTCAATAGTTTCAGTTTTTATACATCCTTGGCTTTCAAATATTCGTCTTTGAGCGTTCCTGATGAAGGTAAATCCAGAAAAACGCTTTGGACGAATGTATTTATGAAGTGTTGTTTTCATTTTTTTATTATTGATTTATGATTTAATCTTCAAATACTAAAGAAATGTTATATTCTTTTTTATGCAGTTGTTTCTGTTTTTTTATAAGATTTTTACACAAAATGTTGAAATAATATGATGTTCTTTCCCTGGGATGTTTTTTTTTTTTTTTTTTTTGTTGTTTATTTTCTTAAACATGGTCAACTTTTTTCGAGCCGTTACAATCGCAAAATCCTAAAAAAAGCCCAGAAATTTGAAGAAAAAAAAATGAGAAAGCATCCACACAAATACTGTACATAATAAACAGCTGCGCCATGAGCGCATGATACGCTGGTCGTCTTGTGTGTGAATTTTTATGCAATAAGCATAAATAGTTTCTGACATACGGCGTGACATGCGAAAACCCCCTTTTTTTTTACAAAAAACTCAATATCTCTAAAAAAAATAAAATTTTGAATCAAAACCAAAAAGTATACAGATCTTTAGATTAATATAACTAAGAAGTGTGTAAAATTTTAAGCAATAATCATAAATCGTTTTTGAGATACGGCGCGACATGTGAAAACCCCCCCTTTAAAAAAAAAAAAATCAATATCTCAAAAATAAAATTTTGAATCAAAACCAATAAACTGCTTCGCTGAGCGTAGCTGGATACGCCCGCAGAGGTCTAACCCTGAACAGTTGGGGCAAAAATGGACACAATATTCAAGCTTGATACAGGTCTGAATTTGGATTGTAATTAAATATTTGACATACATCTATTATAGGTTTCTGAATAAATGTAGTCAAAGAACTTGAAGTTGGTTATATGAATTGAATTTATATTCAATTAAAGATTTCTTGCTGTTGTGCAATACACTGTGCTGTTGCGCAATACTTAGTAAATCTGTTGTCAGACTATAAACAAATAAAATTTATAAAATTCTAAAGGGAGCTTACATCAATAGATATAAACAGTTCACCAAAGTTTCATACGAATTGCTGAAAGCATTTTTGAGTTTTTGTCTGAAAACTGGAAAATCCCCCTTTTTTAATGAATAAACCCCATAATTCGGAAATGTAAAATCTAAAATTTATAAAATTCTAAAGGGAGCTTACATCAATAGATATCAACAATTCATCAAAGTTTCATGAGAACTGCTGAAAGCATTTTTGAGTTATTATCCGAAAACTGGAAAATCCCCCTTTTTTTTATGAATAAAACCCCACAACTCGGAAACGTAAAATCTAAAATTTATAAAAATCAAAAGGGAACTCATGTCAATAGATATAAACAATTAACCAAAATTTCTTGCAAGTTGGTGAAAGCATTCTTGAGTTATTGTCCAAAAACTGGAAAATCCCCCTTTTTTTAATGAATAAAACCCCATAACTCGGAAACGTAAAATCTAAAATTTATAAAAAACGAAAGGGAGCTCACATCAATAGATATAAACAATTCACCAAAGTTTTAAGCAAATTGGTTAAAGCGTTTTTGAGTTAATGTCCGACATGTTGACAACGGACGGACAGACGGACGTACAACGGTATACCATAATACGTCCCGTAAACGGGCGTATAAAAAGTATACAGATCTTTAGATTAATATAACTAAGAAGTGTGGAAAATTTCAAGCAATAATAATAAATCGTTTTTGAGATACGGTGCGACATGTGAAAAACCCCTCCCCCTTTTTTTACAAAATACTCAATAACTCAAAAATAAAAATTTGAATCATCACCAAAAAGTATACAGATCTTAAGGTTAATATAAATAAGAAGTGTGTAAAGTTTTAAGCAATAATCATAAACTGTTTTTGAGATACGGCAGGACATGTGAAAAACCCCTCCCCCTTTTTTACAAAATACTCAATATCTCTAAAATAAAATTTTGAATCATCACCAAAAAGTATACAGATCTTAAGATTAATATAACTAAGAAGTGTGTAAAGTTTTAAGCATTAATCATAAATTGTTTTTGAGATACGGCGTGACATGTGAAAAAAAACACACACCTGTTTTAGTTACTAAGTCCCGTAACTCAAAAAGTTTTAATCTTATTTTCACCAAAAAGTATACAGACCGTTTGACCATCATAAGAAACAACTATGTTAAGTTTCATGAAATTTGGATAAGTCATTCTCAAGTTACAGTGCGACAGGTTTACGCCGGACAGACAAACGGACGGACGCCGGACATTTGTATACCATAATATGTCCCGTCAAAAATTTATCGGGCGTATAAAAATGAAGCAAACAATTGGATAAGATATAAAATGACAAAAATTCAAAGAAACAATATTAATAAAATTTAGACTTTAGCTATCGGCACATATTATAAATATATACATTACAGAATAAATAAATCAATAAATACAAACACCATTCTTCACACATAAGGCACTTCAACTACTTTGGTTTTAACTGCAAGTTGGCACTTCAAACATCGTTCAGTTACCTCCCTTTAAAAAAAAGGTTGACTAGTTTACCTTTAATAATTTTCTCTTTAACATGTTCAAAATTGATGAAGAATAATTTTGAACAAGGCATACAGAAATCTATATCTTGGCAAACTGAAAATTCAATCTGAAGAAAGTTTAAGATTTTACCTTCCAGGCATTTTTCCACCTCAGGTAATGAGAATCTTATAGTTATTTGAAAAATGCATTGAGAAATCTAAACGTTCTCAAATCTTACTGGATTTTTAATTGTAAGAATCTTTATCATATACTTATTATGTTTTCAATGGTTTTACACATTTAATTAAAATCAAGGTATATGTTGCTGTTAAAGGCATATATAAACAAGAGGCTCTCAAGGGCCTGAATCGCTCACCTGTAATTTTTTGCTTAAATCTTTCAACAATGATTATTTTTGCTTTTCAATATATATTAATGAATGGCTTAAAACTTCCATTGAAATGTTCTTTGTATCTCATATTAATTCAAAATCAAAGAAATGCATTTAACCCCTATGTTTCATTTTAGCCATAGTGGCTATGTTTCTTGACGTACAAGAAAATAAAACCCAAAATTTATACTAGATACTCTGAAACTCATTCAGTCCAAGTTTGGCTGAAATTGATTCAGCAGTTTCAAAGGAAAAGATTTTTTAAAGTAAGCAAACTAAATGAACAAATTGTGAAAAAATGATTTTAAAGGGCAATAACTCCTTAAGGGGACAATTGACGATTTTGGAAATACAAAACTTATTTGTAGATCTTACTTTGCTGAACATTTTTGCTGTTTACAATTTATCTTTATCAACTGAAAATTTCAGGGCTGATAGAACTTCACCTAATGAACACTTTAACCCCATGTCAGAATTGCTCTTAATGCTTTGGTTTTTGAGATGTAAGCCAAAAACTGCATTTTACCCCTATGTTCAATTTTTAGCCATGGCAGCCATGTTATTTGACGAAACAGTAAATAAAACATAAATTTAATCCAGATACCCTAAGCATCATTCAGCTTAAGTTTGGTTGGAATAAGTTCAGCAGTTTCAGAGGAGAAGATATTTTTCAGAACAGTGAGCTGAAAACTAGCAAATTTTCCATTCCTTTTTTATAATTTGGAATCAAAGGAGGCTGCTAACTAAAATGAATTAACCCATACAAGAAAGATAAATATATCTCTACCTCATACACAAATTTGGTGTTGTCAATGATATCCTTCTTGAACATTTTTTGGAATAAATACACATCAAAACTTGTAAAAATTGTGGTTTGGTCTATCTTCAATCTTTTATAACACAGTGATTTGATTAGAAATAACCTATACTATTGTTAGTACCGGTACACACTATGAGCTACAATACTATGAATTTAAGCACAAATTTAAAAACATTTTGAAAATGGCCCTTGTATGTTAAATTTTGTATGGCAGAAATGTTGAAAATCACTGGACCTTGTAAACAGATAGTGTCATTTCCTTAATCAGAAACAAGATATGAAAGGTTAATATGAGATTCATTTTCTAATAAAAATAACAAGTATAGGGAAGAAAACCACTATTAAACAACTAGAAGTTTCAAAGAGCCTGAATCACAAATTTTGCTAAACTACCCCTTCATTTCTGAAGAGAGTACTAACTTCAGATGAAACAAGAGGTACTGTTATTGACCCAACAAATGATATTCATTCATAATGCTTAATTATGGCAAACACCAAATGTAAATTTGATTACTAATGACACATAAACTCAATGTCTGAGATTGTATAAGATCTGTAAAGTTAACTTAAAGGGGCATTAGCTACGAGATATACAAAAAAAAAAAATTATTGAAAGTGAAATAGTCAAATAATAATTTGCTTTTAGCAGTCAGTTTGGTTCAATTTTGTCAAAATAAGCTAAGAAACATCACTAATGAATTATTCAAATGCAAGTGAATAATTCTACCTCATTGAATCCGTATTCATATGACCTTCTATTTCATCCCTTAGCTAGAGATGGGTTATGCATGAACTAGGCGTGCTCAGCTTTTAAAGGGGAAAAGAATGTCAACATTGAAAGTGAAACAACGGTAAACCATTTGGTTGACTGATTAAATCCACAAAAACTCATTCTTAAACAGGTAAAAACAATGATTAACATACTTGTTTAACCTATAATATGAAATCAAAAAGGCCTACAAAAATCCAATTGCACATTTTCGCTTTCTATTTATACATATATTTATGTTTATATCAGGTTATATGACCGTCGGCAGTCTTCTGAGGTCACCTCAATGGTTAATTAGATGACGTCTAGACTAAAATACACACGAAATCTGGATATATATTATTGAGTCCATGAATTGCTAGTTGTTCATTTTAGACTTTGTGCAAGTTGGATATACATTTAAGTAGGTTATAAATGAAATATGAAAATTTGAGTCAAATTGATGAATATGAATTTGACAGATAATGCCCCTTTAAAGCAACATGTACACTTACAATTAATGCAAGGTTGACCATTTTGCTTATATTAAGTAATACTGTAAAGTGTGTAATTCTGGCAAGGGGTTTATTTATAAAGCTCATTTCATGATTAAGATAAAAAGGTGAAAATAGCCACTAGTATATATTTTATCTTGAAGAAGATTGAAACCAGTTTGTGAGTTGTTTTTTTTTTCTCTCCTGTCTTTGGTATTCCTGAATTCTTCTGATCTTAATTCAAATCAAATTCATGCAAGAGGATATTTTCCCAATTTAATCTCTTTATACGAATAAATTCATAATTTCCAACCTTGCAATATTATAAACAAGAGATTCTCTTAAGCTTTGGATTTCAATAAGTGAAATGAATGCCTATATATAATAAAGCTAGTGCTAGCTATCCAACAAAGCAACATCATCATCAGAATTTGATTCTATTCTAAGCACCAAAGTTTTAGTTTCTTTAATATTGTCTCCCTTGTAACATTTCTTCAAGGAGGAGGAAGACTTATTAAGGCTTATTTCTGAACCGGATTCTGTATCCAATAGAAGTTCAGCAGTCTCACTTTCAGGTAAACTATCCATTCTGAGGTAACCATTAGACCTGGAGCACTCTCTACTAATGGGAGGTGGCCAATCTGGAGAGGTTTTCATTTCATGTTCAATTGTACTATATTCACTAGACCATCCTGGTAAAATCTTTTCTGCCATTGCATGTAGTTTTCGCCTGGTGTAAATATTGTCTAAGAAATATGTCTGAAAAGAGCAAATGGTACAATTTTCATAACTTTTCAGTAGAGAGTTTTTAGCAATCATACCATATCTCCTATTCTTATATTATAGAGTTTGATCAGTGGAAGATGAAATCATGTATCCTTACAGTTAAGAATTTTTAAATTAAAAATTGCTCATTCCAATTTTTTTTACTATTCAGTTTAAAGTAACAAATTAAACTAGAAATGTGAGTAGACTTACAAAAGAAAACCACCTGCTCTGAAACACTATTAGTATATTTAAGTAATTAAATTCAATCATATCCCCTTTTACATATTGGGCAGCGATTATACTCCTTAATGCATTTTCTCATGTAGAATTCAACTATGGTGTAAAGTTTCATCAATATCTGTTTTCTTTAGAAGTTGCACTGACAAGATACATGGACAGACTTTCAGACAGACAGATTGACAGGGTGAATACTATATACCCCTAAAACTATGATTCTGGAGATTCATTATTATTCATGGGATACCAATTTCATTGATTCTGTTGTTACAGGTTAACCATGAATTCAAATGTTGAACAAACAATTTTCTATAGGCTTGTATGCAGACTTTTGTAGAACCAAGAAATCAAATTTCCACAAATATATATTTTCTTTTAATCCATGAAAATGTGTACTCATGAAAATAACTGAATCCACAGTACCCCCTGAAAAACTTACTTAGCAGGGGAAAGAAAAAATGAAATACAAATATGAGGGATTGTTTGTATTACTGTGCCCCCCCCCCCCCCCCCAACACCTAAATAATGTATTTGAAATCAATCACTTTTTTACATTAATGGATGTAAATGAGGACACTAATAACCACTGTTTGAAGGGCCCTAGTTCTTGTGTCAGTCTTTGAATTTATCATGGCATTTTGTAATTTTATTTTTTTTTGTCGATTTGACATTAGAAATTAGAAATTCCAAATTATATACTTTCACTACTAGAATAAAGAAATAAATCCCAAAGAATACACATATTGGTGGATTGAGGAAACTTATCCCCAAGATCAAAATGTACTTGACAAATGGATACAAATCATCAATATTTACTAACCTCTAATGAAACACAGAGTAAAAAGTTGATACCAGCCACACCTACATACAGCAATCTGTAAGTTATCTCTGGTGGTGGTTTTAACTGTAAAAAAAAAGATATTCTTTAAACAAATGTGAAATACAACTATATCACTTATAGTCTTTATTTTCAATAGATGACCTTACACCATTTCATAGCTTTGTTTTAAAGACTAGTATGTTTTCTGTATGTTAGTAGATGTTGGCCCTCTATCTGAAACACTTCAAAACTATGACATTGTATACCCTCGAAATGTTCAACAATAATTTTTGTCATTTTGTTATTTACATTTGTTTGTACTGACTGGTTTTTTTAATGTATATTTTGTTTTACTGCTTTAGAGCATTTTATCTATTTTGTTACCAGTAATGGGACAAGTACTGTACACCCTTAGGTCACAAGGTCACATTTAAAATTGCCTCAGGTCACTTTTAAGCTAACTATAAAGTTGTCAACTGATCTGATTCTTGGTTTTGAACTTATTTAAAGATCACAGGTCCTTTTACATGAGTCATCAGGTCGCAAGGGCACCAACCAAATCAGCCCAAGGTCTCTGGTCGGATTTGACCATGTTGGAACCAAAGTAATCAAAGTTCTTCAGTGTAGTAATGATGAGCAAAAGCAATACTGCAAAAATTTGGAATGGAAAAATATTTATTCAATCCTGCCATATTGTTTCCTGCCTTAAAACAATTTTATACAAGAGGCTCTCAAGAGCCTGAATCACTCACCTGTATTTCAGAGGAGAAGATTTTTAAATGTTAGCAAACTTGATGAACAAATTGTGTAAAATGGTCTTTAAAGGGCAATAACTCCTTAAGGGGTCAATTGACAACTATGGTCATATTAACTTTTTTGTAGATCTTACTTTGCTGAACATAATTGCTGCTTACAGTTTATATATATCTATAATAATATTCAAAATAATAACAAATAAACTGCTTTGCTGAGCGCAGCTAGATACGCCCGCAGAGGTCCAACCCTGAACAGTTGGGGTAAAAATGGACACAATATTCAAGCTTGATTCAGGTCTGAATTTGGATTGTAATTAAATATTTGACATACTATAGGTTTCTGAATAAATGTAGTCAAAGAACTTGAAATTGGTTATATGAATTGAATTTATATTCAATTAAAGATTTCTTGCTGTTGTGCAATACTTAGTAAATCTGTTGTCAGACTATAAACAAATAAAGTTCAATTAATTCTCAATCTCATATTAGAAATTTATGAAAATAAAAAGGGAGCTTACATCAATAGATATAAACAATTCACCAAAGTTTCATGAGAATTTGTGACAGCATTTTTGAGTTATTGTCTGAAAACTGGAAAATCACCCCTTTTTTTAATGAATAAAACCCCATAACTCAGAAATGTAAAATGTAAAATTTATAAAATTCTAAAGGGAGCTTACATCAATACATACAAACAATTCACCAAAGTTTCATAAGAATTGCTGAAAGCATTTTTGAGTTTTTGTCTGAAAACTGGAAAATCCCCCCTTTTTTATGAATAAAACACTGTAACTCAGAAACGTAAAATCTAAAATTTATTAAAATCAAAAGGGAGCTCATGTCAATAGATATAAACAATTCACCACAATTTCTTGCAAGTTGGTGAAAGCATTCTTGACTTATAGTCCTAAAACTGGAAAATCCCCCTTTTTTAATGAATAAAACCCCATAACTCGGAAACGTAAAATCTAAATTTTATAAAAAACGAAAGGGAGCTCACGTCAATAGATATAAACAATTCACCAAAGTTTTATGCAAATTGGTTAAAGCATTTTTGAGTTAATGTTCGACATGTTGACGACGGACAGACAGACGGACGGACGGACAACGGTATACCATAATACGTCCCGTAAACGGGCGTATAAAAACTGCAAAATTTTGTTAAAACTACCAATTCGGTGGCAGCAACCCAACAATGGGTTGTTCGATTCGTCTGAAAATTTCAGAGCTGATAGATCTTGACCAATTGAACAATTTTACCATGTCATATTTGCTCTAAAAGCTTTAGTTTTTGAGATATAAGCCAAAAACTGCATTTGAACCCTATGTTCTATTTTTAGCCATGGTAGCCATGTTTGTCGATGGATCAAAACTTCAGATACAATTTATAAACTAGATACCCTAAGGAACATTTAGTTAAAGTTTGAAGGTATTTGGCCCAGTAGTTTCAGAGGAGAAGATTTTTGAAATAGTTTACGACGACAGACGACAGATGACGGACGACGACGGACGCCAAGTGATGGCATAAGCTCACATGGGGCCCTTCGGGCCCCGGTGAGCTAAAAAGTGGTGAACAATCCTTTGTTGCCATGAGGTTTTTTAATTTATGGGTAGGTTGTCATTAATATGATTATCTCTTTTCTTAAGAGCCAATCCGCCAGAAAACCATGCAATATTCAGAAAATCGTCCAAATCGACAATCACAACTTGACAAATTTTTATACATCATCTTAATCCTTGACATAAAATAAAAGAATTTGACCACTTAATTTTTCCCAGAATCGTATCTATTTTTAGCAACAGCCTCATTTGCATAATTCTGTAAATTCATAATGAAACCAAGGAAAAATCCAACTTTTTTATGCCTTTTAAGAATGACCCAGAAGCATATTAAATGGGGTAGTTGAGTTTTTAGAGTAATGTCAGCTGAAACTCATCCATTTTACTATGTTATGACCAATACAAATGAAAATTTGAACGATTTGGCACATTGCCAGGAGCAGGGAGACAAAGGCGGGGTTTTTCATACATGAATTTACGTGGTTTTTATTCGCTTCTATCTTGCAAGACCCATTCCGGATTTGTTTGCAACTTATATCGGTTTTAACTATGGGGTATGTTTTATATCAAAACAAAATATTAAGCTTGGTAAATGACTATTATATGTTAATTTATGCCTTGGAAGAATGGTGATTTTAGTCCCAAATTGACACATTTTGATTTTGATTTTAATTAAATTCTAAACACAATTGGTACTTAAATGGCTCATAAAATCATTCGAACAAGTAAAATCAATTTGTCTGAAAAATGAAATAAGACGTATTTGTACTGCAAGTCCAAAAATCAATAAATTGTCTGAAACCAGGGAGTCCATCTTTTATGCTCTTCCATTGACTTATCTCCCTTAGGTAAGATCTCAAACATGTCAGCTCCCAGTGATGGTTTGGTAGACAAATGTTTACAGTGAAGTTTGTGACTTTAAAATTCTAGGATGAGCATGTGGGCTATCCCAGCCTTATACATCTACATATTACAAACTATTTAAGATATCTGAATGCACTAAAGACCAAAATAGCATTTCTGTCAGTGTCAACAACAACTGAACTTTCACAGCAGTCAACATCAGATTGGGAGACTGATAATGCTTCTAACAGAAACAATTTCAACCAACCAAACAAGCAACAGAAACTTTCCAACTTTAAAACATCAGTTAAATCTTCCATGGGATGATGTCTCAAAAAATAACAGTTCATCATTTATGGAGATTTTAATGTTATGGTTTTTCTTTTACAAGAAAGTTAATGTACACTTGTTTTATAGTAAAACCTATAGCCGTTCAAGTTTAAAAAAACACATTCAACTTTAATGAAATTTGAAGATTCATATGACTTATTTTAATTCTGTTATCTCCGAGGATGTGATGTAGAGCATTATAGGTACAGTAATCTTAACAGCTATCCAATTTCATTCAAAATTCTTTATAAATTTTGCACTGGTAAATATAGACTAAGTAATTTGTTTTTCGTCTAGTTATGGGATTTTTTTTAGAAGCATTTATGATTTTCATGTTTGTATTGACCACATTGCAGCAACATAGATATAGGTACCTGGCAAATCTTGCCTTGTTAGCATACTAGGCTCAAAGGGGCATAAAAAAATTTCCATCAACAAGTGTCTGTTAAAATCATCTGTTTACAGTTTTCACTTTTAAACCATCATCTTAATAACTTTAGAAGAAGTGTCATACATATATATATGTATACAAATTTTAAAAACTTTTCAATATATATATATATATATATATTGATAAAAACTATCAACATGACAAGATCTAAATACCCAACATTTTTCTTAAAAATTGGACATAACATCTATGAGCTATTGTCCCTGAAATGTGTAAATTTACAAATTTTCACAGTTTTCTGCTACTATCCGACAACTATATCAATATATTATAAGAATAAATTGCAAAAGTGGTCAGAAGAAACTTTTTTTTTACAGTCTGAACTTATTCTGAATTGTTTAACTTCTAATTTAAATTGATTGCATTTGAAATATGTGTTTTTTATCGTTTTAGGTGCACAATTTGTCAATACGATCTATTTCGGCTCCTGGGAGCCTCTAGATTTATAATGAATAATTTGTATTTATGTATGATTATTTTCTTAATGTTAAAATGAAACATTAATTATTCTTTTCCATTTGTTGTTATACTTATTTATAAGTCCAGATCCTATCATATGTCAGTAGTTACAAATTAGACGGCAAAATTGAGAAAATTTGAATATGCAGGTTACCCCATTTTGTTGTGGCATATACCAGACACCAACATTATTTGCCGAGCTTGATATTTTTTTTGATTGGGTATATATAGTTATACTTTGCAAGTAGATATGTTGTTTTACAATAATAAACGGGTCTTGGAGTATTTTGGCTCTGAAAGATGACCAAAATCAGCCATTTTGGACATGTAGCTAAATAAGACATATTGAAACAGTTAGATTATACATACACATAATAGACAGCATTGTTAATTCTATGCATTCTTACACTTAAAGTGATGTATTACTAGGAACAACTATCAAAAAATTATAAATGTTACCATATTTTTTTATTTAAACCAGCGAAATATGTCAAAAAAGGCTTATTTTTGCTGTTTTCGAGCAATTTCATCTGTTAAAACATGGCGCTCAAAAAATATCCAGATCGGTTCAATATTTTCCCAAAAAAATTTGTGTGGTTATTTACATTACTAAGGTGCACCAATATGCCAAATATGAACTCATTTGGAAAAAGTGACATTCGGACGGTTTTGCATGGTTTTCTGGCAGATTGGCTCTTAAGCAGTGAAAGTGCAACATTTCTCAAATAATCAAGGTAAAAATTAATATTGAGTATAATTTAGATCTTAAAATATTAATAACCTGTTTAAACTAGAATAGATGTATCAAAATACATGTAAGGCTGTATATGAACTCTATTCGCTGCATATAATCAGTAAGCAGAAAAAACAGAACTCTGAAGTCACACAATTTTTTTTTATATAAAATTCCACATGCAAATATCATCAATCATCTGAAAATGTGTTTTATATTAATGTACCTCAATGAACTCCAGAATCGCTGGCGGTGGATAAATGGTAATCCAAAGTGTAACACCTAAACATATCACAAGGTTAGCCAGGAACCAGTCTGAAAGAATTGTAGAAAATAATTCAATTGTTCAAGTCTTCCTTTAAAAATATTAAACAGAAATAAATTCATTTATAGTTATTTACTCATTGATATTAAAATTTAAAATCTCCAAATAAACACGAAAGATTTCAACAAAATCATAATAACAAAGAAAAGGAACTGTACCATATTTAATTCATATGAAAGCATCAGTGCCCATTTTAGTTTTTTGATAATTCAACATTACTGCATATTCGTAAGCTTGCTAGTACATATGATACTAGTAAATAAATTTTAGTGTTAAACCGTTATTTCAATCTTAACATCATCTGAAAAAAATAATAATAATTCAGAATTGTTCAGTCTTTCAGTCAATTTTCAGATTTTTCCAATGCGGTTAACTAAGTACTGTTCAGACTATTTGCTTTCAATCAATTCAGTACTGTTCAGTAGCATTTCAGAAAATTCATTATGATGTAGATGTGTTTAGGTAAAAAACAACTACTGAACAGTCTAAACAGGCCTTAATTAACTGAAAGCAGTGCCAGTGGGTAAGGCTAAAAATTAACTGACTGAACATGACTTAATAAATTATTGTTCAGTCTTTTAAAAGCTGTTCAGATCAAAATAACCGTTTCATGTCAAAATGACCATTTCAGATCAAAATTGGTTTACTGGTGTAATACTTACAATTAGAAAACATAGACTTCCTATATGGAGAACCTTTGGCAAAAGTGACAGCTAATGTCATAAACTGATAGGTTGATACATAAAATACTGCTGAATTCTCATAGGAAGCGTAATTATCGTCTTCATTTGGCACATGTGGAGTGAACCTAGAAAAATTTACACATTTGTTAATTAAGTAGACATGTGATTCTTGTTCACAATAAAATCTTTGAAAGAACAGTAAATTTTCTTAAATCTTAGAGCTATTTTCCTAATGCTTGTAGTTTAAAGGTTTGGTTGGCTTGCTTGCTGTGTTGGTATTAATGTTTGCTCATGCATTGCAGATGTCAATCTTAATAACAATGCTTGAGCAAACATTTATACAAACAAAGTAAGCAAGCCAACCAAACCTTTAAAACTACAAGAATTAGGAAAAATTGCTCTAAAGGTGTCCTGTGTTTTTTATATGAAGTAAGGTATATTCCGTAAAATTTAAATGGGAGGGTATGAAGGCACTCCATATCAATAATACAAGAATAATAGGGTCGTTGCAAATAGAAACACTAAAATACAAGCTTATTTCTAATTGAAATTTGATTTGGTAATGGGTCTTTGAAAAAAGTGCCTTCTGACCCCCTTACATTGTTTTCCTAGAAAAAAAATTAAGTGACCTCCTTCCATAAATCAAAGACATTCAGTATTGTCAACAAAGCAGAGAGAAATCCAGCAATATGATAAATCCACATACAAACAAGCGTCTATACTATTTGTCAATCTTTTAGTAGTCCATATCTATACAAGTTGTGAAAGACTCAATCTGTTATAAAACGAAGTATAAAACAAGAAATGATTGTAACAGGATGCTGTTACGAAGTCTCCCAAACGAAGCTCCCATAATTCGTAATTCCCAGGGTCGCCTGACATTGGGCAAAGTCCAGTGAAAATTGGTTTGGTCCAGTAAAGTTATATGCATTAGTGATGCCTGGGGACTAACCCTGTATATCATTCAAATCATCTTGGCATGACAAACCAGAATATATATGGTTTAGGGGTGGGGATCTCGACCATTTACAAGATACTAATACATTGGGGTGGAGGGAACCCCTGGGGACTGACCCTATACGTCATTCAAATGTTTGAGACATGACGAACAGAAATATATATGGCTTAGGGGTGGGGATCTCGACCATTTACAAGATATTAGAACATTGGGGGTGGGGGGAACCCTGGGGACTGACAGTATATGTCATTCAAATGTTAGAGACATGACGAACAGGAATATATATGGTTTAGGGGTGGGGATCTCGACCATTTACAAGATATTAGAACTTTCTCAAATGGCAGGGGGTCGGGATGACCCCTGGGGACTAACCCTGTATATCATTCAAACCATCTTCACATGACAAACCAGAATATATATGGTTTAGGGGAGGGGATCTTGACCACTTACAAGATATAAGAACTTTCTTGAATGGCATGGGGTGGGGGGTGACCCCTGGGGACTAACCCTGTATTTCATTTGATGTGCTTTATCATGACAAACCAGAATATATATGGTTTAGGGGTGGGGATCTCGACCATTTACAAGATATTAGAACTTTCTCAAATGGCAGAGGGTCGGGATGACCCCTGGGGACTAACCCTGTATATCATTCAAACCATCTTAGCATGACAAACCAGAATATATATGGTTTAGGGGTGGGGATCTCGACCATTTACAAGATATTAAAACTTTCTCAAATGGCATGGGGTCGGGATGACCCCTGGGGACTAACCCTTGTATATCATTCAAACTATCTTAGCATGACAAACTAGAATATATATGGTTTAGGGGTGGGGATCTTCACCACTTACAAGGTAAATAGAACTTTCTTAAATGGCAGGGGGTGTGGGTGACCCCTGGGGACTAACCCTGTATTTCATTTAATGGGCTTTATCATTTAAAACATTTTCAATTAAAAAGATTGTGTCTATCACAAACGGTTTTCAATTTATAATCATTTGAAAATTTTAAAAAATAAAATCCCATAGGGTTTTATAGTAAAACCCTCTTTTCTTTTTGCCCCTCAAAGTACCCCTTTATAAACCCCATTGCACAAACAAAACCCTGATTGCACCACTAGACATGTTAGTCTAACATATTCTGAAAACCCTAGGTTAATCCGACAAGCGGTTTTGGAGAACGGGTGCGGACAAGTTCAAATTTAAAAGCGGCGGAAGAGGAAGAAGAAGAAGAAGAAGAAGAATAATAACTAGATTTGCCATTGCAAGCAATGGCGGATGTCACCCTTCCCCCATTGCCACTAAGCGGCGGCAATTTTGAAAATTTTAAACAGGGAATGTACATATATGCATGGCTATACATCTTTCCGTAATGTTTCAAACATTTAGAGCATTTTTGATCTTTTAAAAACTTTTGACTGTTTTGCAGTTTCCATGGCAACTGTGGCTATTTTGGAAATTCCAAAGTCGAAAGTCTCATCGAGACTTGCCAGTTAACAATCACATTAAGTTTCATTAGATTTGAAGCATTTTAAAAATTTTGAAATTTTTGACATTTTTGCTGGTTCCTATGGTAACAGAGACCATTCCCAAAATCTAATGACAGATGCCACATTGGTACATGGGAGGGAACATACCATCAAAGTTTCAATGGATTTGACCTACCATTTTAAGAAAGTAAATGCTACTCTAAGGTTTTTGAAGCATTTTGACCTTTTTTGCATTGTTTCCATGGTAACGGCAGCCATTTTGGAAATTCCAATGCCAAATTCCATATCTACAAATGTTGCTCATCGTTACTGTGAAGTTTCATAAAATATGGAGCATTTTGATATTTTTGAAATTTTTGGTGTAGTTTCCATGGCAACATAGTAGTTCCAATGATTGTCAAAATCAGCCAAAACCTGTATATAGTGGACAACTACATTGTATTAAAATTTAATAATTTTAAGTTTAAGCATTCTCAAATTATTAACCAAACTCAAAATTTTTATTTTTTCCCCTTTTTTCAGTTTCCATGGTGATGGCAGCCATTTTTTAGTTCCAAAGTTGCACTGCAACTCAGATGTCAGGGTTCCTTGTTATAGTCAACCATCATTTAGATTGGTTCCTTTGGCTCTGAGAAAACGGGCAGACAAAATTAGGTGGAAGAAAAATAATAATAATAATAATAGGGAAAAAGAAACAGAGGAAAAGCAATATGTCACCCGACATTGTCGATCGGGTGACATAATAATAATAAGAACTGAGCAAAAACAATAAGTCTTCCAAAACTTCGTTTGGGAGACTTAATAAACTGATGACAAATAAAAAATCATAGATTTGTCTTGCCGGCAATTTCAGAAGTGTGATGCAAAAGTTTCAAAGTCAATAGACTATGAAGGAGCAGGGTGCTTATAATCTTCATAGAAATTAGATGTGCCATTTGTAATACAACTGCATACTAACTATCATTGAATTGTCATTAGTGGTTTCCCTTAGACTGACCTAATCACAAACTTTGACAAATCTGACACAACAGTACATCAAAGTCTTGTATCTGTAACTTGGTTGAGGAGAGGCAATAAGTTGATATAAATAAATACAGTGCTAAACATTAAACTAAGTCAAATTCAAATTGGAAAAAAGTTATAAGAGGTGGACTGTAAAATACACAAGACAAAACCTTATGAATTACAAGGAAATAGCTAATACTCTATTACTGTCTTTCATCTGATTACTGCAAGATCTTCAATCCTGTGCTAAAAAAATCACATCTTACAGGAAGATCAAGCTGTACTCAACCACATTAAGCGAGGTCTTCTTATGAACTCATATGATTTTTTAACATAAAAGATTAGGAACCTACAACAAAATTAGATAAAATCGATGAATACATACCATGGTTGTTGCCTTACATGTACAAAACTGAATATTTGTACCGCTACTTGTATAGTCATGTGTAATACAATGGAGGTAATCGGCAGGAGACTGGTCAGACTAAAAGCTGGAGGATCCTTTGCCAACTCTGGGTATGCATCTGTCCTACCAACTATAACATAATAAGCATGGAATCTAAAATTCTGTTAAAAAGATACTAAGTCAATGTAAACATTGATATTTTAGCCCATTGTTAATTTTGCGATTCCAATGCCTAAGCTATTCTGCAGATCAATATGTTCTACCTGTACATCAATATAATTGCTTTCTACAACCATTTGTGGGAGGGATATTGTGTGCATTTTATCTGATCATGAAATAAATTAATGTAACCCTGGCACAAACATATTCGTATTTATACAGTCAATTGTTCCTGAGAGAACCTGATTTCATTATATAGATAAATCACTAATTTTAACAAATATTAGTCAAATAAATCAATCTTTTGTCTTTTATCTCTCAAAATAGCTACTCAAAGTAAAACAGTGCTCAAACTTCAGAGCTCCCAAAGCCTTCCTACAGTAATATGGTACAATTTTCTTATGAGTTTCAAATTAATAGTTAAAGCACAACTGAAGAATAAATTGAGATTGTTTGGGGAAAAAACCACATTTATAGGCATTCAAGACTCCATTAAATATTGATATATAGTATGTGCAGGCTAAATTCACGAACTCTATTTAACTCTCCCAACTCTTGCAGTCAGAGGAGAGGCTCCTCTGTGTTTCTTTTCTTTATATTCTAGGATTTTTTAGTTTAATTTATTAATAGAATAATTATTTATACTTACATGTAATATATTTATACTTACATATAATATATTTATACTTGCATGTAATATATTTATACTTACATGTAATACTGAGGGAAGCCAATAAAAATAAATCCACATATAAGAACTCAAAGTCGGTCAGGTTTATTCCAATCTGAAGAAAAAAATGATTGAAGTAATGAGTACAAAGTTCAACCACAATGGATCAGTCTTCCAAGGAAGATGCAGGGTTCGACATTTACTTTTATACCAACTTGTCCAGTTGGGCAAGTGCCCTATTACTTTTACTTGTCCGAAAGTGAAATCTACATGCTATTTTTGTGGTTGTAATGTAATACATGCAGACTGGGAGTCAGATTTCCTTTTTTGAGGAATTCCACTGAAAAAACTTGCCAGGGTTGATTATTGTGCCATGATGGCAGCAACTAGACTTGACCACTGAGATACTATGAGGCATGCATATATGAGCCGAGGAGGGAAGGAAAAGATCGACGAATATACGGGAATTGGATCATTTACATAGAGATACTCATTTCATAATAATTTATCTAAGAAATGCCATTTCAAAAAACCCATTTTGATAAACTGACAAATTTGTAAAAGTTTAATTTCATTTTCTCTTTCAAGCTTTTACGTTTTTCATCTTAGGGAAATACACATCCGATGTCAAATTCTAAAGTTAGAACAACGAAAATAGACCTCCGCTTTCCATTGGTCAGTGGGAATAACACGTGCGTCGGAAACGCCCGAGTGGTGTCCCGATTGATAACGATAATGATGAAGCAACGCCGCGGTCGCCTGATTGGCCAATATTTTTAAACGTGATCTATTTTTGCGAACAAATGACGAAATATACGCATTGAAGGGGGGTTAAGACCACTTTACTCTACCGTGCGGTGTTATTACTGAGTAATCTTTGGACAAAACAACAGACATTATTGATTTTGTGAAATTTTAATCATATAACACTTTTTTCTTCACTTGCCCAATCGGACAACCAAGATGATGTTTTTACTTGTCCGAATACAACATTAACTTGCCCCGGGCAATCGGACAACCGTAAGTGTCGGACCCTGCGATGCTTGGTGTCTGCTTTCAAATAATATAAGCAGAATGGGCAATGATCATGTTTTGGTATGGGAAACCCCAAAATTCACACATTTCACAAATTAAAACTAGAGGCTCTAAAGAGCCTGTGTCGCTCACCTTGGTCTATGTGCATATCAAACAAAGGACACAGATGGATTCATGACAAAATTGTGTTTTGGTGATGGTGATGTGTTTGTAGATCTTACTTTACTGAACATTCTTGCTCCTTACTATTATCTCTATCTATAATGAACTTGGCCCGGTAGTTACAGTGGAAAATATTTTGTAAAAATTTACAAAAATTTATAAAATTTATGAAAATTGTTAAAAATTGACTATAAAGGGCAATTACTCCTTAAGGGGTCAATTGAAAATTTTGGTCATGTTGGCTTATTTGTAGATCTAACTTTGCTGTACATTATTGCTGTTTACAGTTTATCTCTATCTATAATAATATTCAAGACTAGAGGCTCTAAAGAGCCTGTGTCGCTCACCTTGGTCTATGTGCATATTAAACAAAGGACACAGATGGATTCATGACAAAATTGTGTTTTGGTGAAGGTGATGTGTTTGTAGATCTTACTTTACTGAACATTCTTGCTCCTTACTATTATCTCTATCTATAATGAACTTGGCCCAGTAGTTACAGTGGAAAATATTTTGTAAAAATTTACAAAAATTTACAAAATTTATGAAAATTATAAAAAATTGACTATAAAGGGCAATAACTCCTTTAGGGGTCAATTGACAATTTTGGTCATGTTGACTTATTTGTATATCTTACTTTGCTGTACATTATTGCTGTTTACAGTTTATCTCTATCTATAATAATATTCAAGATAATAACCAAAAGCTGCAAAATTTTCTTAAAATTACCAATTCAGGCGCAGCAACCCAACAACGTGTTGCCTGATTGGTCTGAAAATTTCAGGGCAGATAGATCTTGACCTAATGAACAATTTTATTCTTGCCAGATTTGCTCTAAATGCTTTGGTTTCAGAGATACGAGCCAAAAACTGCATTTTACCCTATGTACTATTTTTTAGCCATGTCAGCCATCTTGGTTTGCAGGCGGGGTCATCGGACACATTTTTTAAACTAGATACCCTAATGATGATTGTGGACAAGTTTGGTTAAATTTGTCTAAGTAGTTTCAGAGGAGAAGATTTTTTTAAAAGATTACAAAAATTTACGAAAAATGGTTAAAAATTGACTATAAAGGGCAATAACTCCTTCAGGGGTCAACTGACCATTTTGGTCAAGTTGACTTATTTGTAGATCTTACTTTGCTGAACATTATTGCTGTTTACAATTAATCTCTATCTATAATAATATTCAAGATAATTACCAAAAACGGCAAAATTTCCTTAAAATTACCAATTCAGGGGCAGCAACCCAACAACGGGTTGTCCGATTCATCTGAAAATTTCAGGGCAGATAGATCTTGGCCTGATAAACAATTTAACCCCATGTCAGATTTGCTCTAAATGCTTTGGTTTCAGAGATATAAGCCAAAATCTACATTTTACCCCTATGTTCTATTTTTAGCCATGGCGGCCATCTTGGTTGGTTGGCCGGGTCACCGGACACATTTTTTAAACTAGATACCCCAATGATGATTGTGGCCAAGTTTGGTCAAATTTGGCCCAGTAGTTTCAGAGGAGAAGATTTTTGTAAAAGTTTACGGACGACGGACGCAAAGTGATGAGAAAAGCTCACTTGACCTTTCAGGTCAGGTGAGCTAATAATATGTTTTAGAAAGTTGAATTATGTCCAGCTGTTTTCAAGGAGTTGCAGATGATCAAACTGTGAATCAGATAAGCAGACACAGGAAGTCAGAAGTGATCCCTATGTGTTTCCCCAGCTGAAAGTTTAAGGGACACCATTTTAAACTAGTTTGTGTTTAATGGGATTCTTCATAAAACATGAATTTTATTGTATGTTCTTTTATGTAGCTTTAGTTCACTGATCAAGATTAAAATGGAGAGGGTTGAGATATCATAGAACTGGTTCTTAAACTATTAAATCCCATCACATGCTCATGTGCCTATCTCAAGACTGGAACCTAAACATTGGTTGTCTTGTGTCATATCTTTATGTTTTAGTGATCTTAAATATGTGTTGATGTCAGGAAATTTGGAAGTTACTGCTTAATTTATTTAAAATTTTTATACACATATGATGAATTAAAGTTCAACTATTGTATCTGACAACACATGTCAAAGATTGAAACTTTTTATTTGGTTGCCGTATTATTTGTAACAGACAAACATCAGGTATAAAAATTGTTGACACACAGATATGTTTTCGCCAGCGTAATATTTGAACTGTGCAAAAAAGTTTCAAAGTCAATGGATCCCGACTAAGGAGAGGGGTCAAATAATCTCTATTGTGATGAGATGTGTAAATGCATGGTTAAACATCTGTAAAATAACACTTTTTTTTTATATAACTAACAATATTGAAATGAAATGTGAAACAAAATGATTATCAATGTTTAAATTATGTAAAGTAAAATACATACCCAGTATAAGATACAGACAGATGTAAACTGTGTCAAACTGTAACAGGCCATGTATTTGAATATTCCAAATGATGTAACTAAGGCAGCTCTTCCTTGTCTGAAATATATCACAAATCAAATTCAGATCCTGGTGTGTTGCAAAGAATGATGATCAGGAAAAAATAAAATCTGATGACTTTTTTTTTAACTTTTCTACAAGGCACACATGTTTTTCATTCTCAAATTACTAGTTTACAACACAAGGATGATGATGCTACCTTAGATGAATAAATACTTACTTGCATGTTGTAATTTCCAAGCATTCTAAGGGAGAAAACAATTTGTATTTATTTGACGATTAAACTGATTGGAGTAAGGTTATCCCAAAACGTTTCTAATGCAAATTCTTATAAATGTGCGAGGCATTGTTCGTTGTATCATGCGGCTTGACAGGTACAAAATGCCAATCCGATTAAACATTTTGCAAAAAAACCCTCCACATGAAAGAAATAAACTTTGAAGTCTAATGCAGTTTTGAAAGGTCACATTAAAACTTACTTGATTATGTTGGAACATATGTGATATTTGGTGTCTTTGTGGTGAATGGTGAGGCTACTTACTTGATAAAGTTAGGAACACATGTAATATTTGGTGTCTTTGATGTGAATGGTGAGGCTACTTACTTGATTAAGTTAGGAACATATATGATATTTGGTGTCTTTGATGTAAATGGTGATGATACTTACTTGATTAAGTTAGGAACACATGTGATATTTGGTGTCTTTGATGTGAATGGTGAGGCTACTTACTTGATTAAGTTAGGAACAAATGTAATATTTGGTGGCTTTGATGTAAATGGTGAGGCTACTTACTTGATGAAGTTAGGAACACGTGATATTTGGTGTCTTTGATGTGAATGGTGAAGAAACTTACTTAAGATAGGAACACATGTGATATTTAGTGTCTTTGATGTAAATGGTGAGGCTACTTACTTAATTAAGAAAGGAACACATGTAATATTTGGTGTCTTTGATGTGAATGGTGATGCTACTTACTTGATTAAGTTAGGAACACATTTAATATTTGGTGTCTTTGATGTGAATGGTGATGCTACTTACTTGATTAAGTTAGGAACGCATTTAATATTTGGTGTCTTTGATGTGAATGGTGAGGCTACTTACTTGATTAAAATAGGAACACATGTAATATTTGGTGGCTTTGATGTGAATGGTGATGCTACTTACTTGATTAAGTTAGGAACACATGTAATATTTGGTGTCTTTGATGTGAATGGTGAGGCTACTTACTTGATTAAGTTAGGAACACATGTAATATTTGGTGTCTTTGATGTGAATGGTGATGCTACAGAGGCCTCAGCTTCTGACAATGATACACCAGAATGTGCCATCTTCAATGCTCCACAATCATTAGCACCATCTCCACACATAGCCACATAATATCTGTTAATAATATTATAACAATTTAATAGCATGGTCTTACATTACATTACATTACATTACATTACATTACATTACATTACATTACATTACATTACATTACATTACATTACATTACATTACATTACATTACATTACATTACATTACATTACATTACATTACATTACATTACATTACATTACATTACATTACATTACATTACATTACATTACATTACATTACATTACATTACATTACATTACATTACATTACATTACATTACATTACATTACATTACATTACATTACATTACATTACATTACATTACATTACATTACATATTACATTACATTACATTACATTACATTACATTACATTACATTACATTACATTACATTACATTACATATTACATTACATTACATTACATTACATTACATTACATTACATTACATTACATTACATTACATTACATTACATTACATTACATATTACATTACATTACATTACATATTACATTACATTACATTACATTACATTACATTACATTACATTACATTACATTACATTACATTACATTACATTACTATTTGTGGGATACCAACTTTTGGAGGATTTTGTGGGTAAAGGTGAACCATTAATTTAAATGTTCAACGAAGCACAAATGTTCTGAAGGCTTGTGTGCAGACTTTTACAGAACCAAGAAATCAAATATTCACATAAATACATGTTTTTCCTCAATCCATGAAAATTGATACCCACGAAAAATATATGAATCTACAGTATATGTCCTTTAATTTTTGTATTGACAATTTAAATAATCAATAACTACCATTCTTGAAAACTGCAAAATTACACTTTAATACCAGAGTAATTTCAAAGTCATCAAGCGAACAAATTAGTTCAATCTAATATATATACAATTTAAAATCAAAATAACAGTTTTTAAATTTGGTGTGTCCAAAGCACTTTTCTGGATTTACCTTCATTAGGAATGCTCAAACCCAGGGAATAAGATTAACAGGGCCCAGTAGCCAATGCTACTGGAAATTTGGCTGGGCCCTAACTTTTTAACAGAATATTCCCATATGGTCAATACAAAATTTTCACATTTTGTCAGTTGGGCCCCTGGAGTGAAATTTTAAAGCTTATTCCCTGAAACCCAAAATAAAATATAAAGCCAAGGATGTATAAATACCTGAATATGATATGATCGAAAAAACCTAAAAGAATAAGACTATTAAATTGTTCTAAGGTCAACTTGTCTGAGGGAGTTGGAACCTTAGTTTCTTAATCATTTTTTAATTTAAATAATGTCAGTATCTGTAAGTTTCTTTTCAAGGGAAAACAAACCTTTTTTTATTTCATCTGGGACATTATACAGATTGATCACTTAAAGTACAGGTGCCATATTCAAAATGTTGGTAAATATGCTTACCCTATTTGCTGAAGGATCTCCACTAACTGAGCTTTCTGGTCTGGTGACATTCTAGCAAAGACTGTACCTCTAACAACAATCTGTTAAAATATGCACACAATACTATAATACGTGATTTAAAGTAGAAGTATTCAATTTCATTTCTTTCAAACTTTTTTTTTATTGAGCATTACAACAGTTTTAAAGAAACACTTATCATTTCAAGTTTTGACATTCAATAAAAACCATATCTTAATCTAATTTGTCCATACAAACAAACTGACATTTTAATGGATTATTTAATATTTTTCTGCAAACAAATTTGATTTTTGTAATTGATAAGTCCCTGGAACAAACCTTGGACAAAGTATCTGGGAAATGTTGTCTGAGAATTGAAAATGATTTTCCTGTGACAGCAAAATGGAACATTTCACCTCCAACTTCCTCTATCTGGATCTTCATGTCCTGGAAAGCATAAATATATATATTCTAATCTCCTTTGGAGAGCCTAGTATTTTATATTAACTCTTGAAACAAAATCTAACTTTGATATTTATTTTAGGCAATATATTGAATCTGTGGTTCTTCATGTATCTCATTTAGCTTTAACATAAAGATTTGTCTGAAAAACATGTCTTTCTTCAATTGTATATAATGGTAATAAACAAAGTTGAACTATGCCAATTTTATCCTAATCTTCGGTTTACCCAAATTCAAATGCTTTTTCAAGTAGGGATTAAGAAAAGAATGTTCTTGGTGGCTTGAAATATAACTAATCATAATAACTTCTTACGTGCAACAAACCCTATCTATTGCTGATATCTTTTATATATCAACCATGTACTTGTATGGAATTCTATAGATTCTAAAATAACCCTTCATACTACAGAAGTTCTTGCAAGGCAGATAATTTGTTGCTGAAACTTAAGCACCTATCAGCATGTAATGATACCCTGTTTTAAGGATGAAGTAACCAGGAAGTTGATAATCAATGAATCTGAAAATGCATCATTCAGTAAAGCATGTTCACATGAAGCCAGATAAAAAATTTTAAGAAGCGCTTGTTGTGAATATTGTGGATTCATTATTATTCAGTGGATACCAATTTTCGTTGGTTTCATGGAAACAGGTGAACCACGAATTCAAATGTCCACTAATAACAAATTTTCTATAGGCTTTTTGTATGCAGAAATTGGCAAAACCACAAAATCAAATATTTACGAAAATGAAAATTTTCCTCAATCCACGAAAATTGACACCCATGAAAATAAACGAATCTACAGTAATTTATTTATAATTTGTGATTTTATGCATTTCCAAACATGTGCAAATCCAAAATAGTTTTCAATTTTCTTGGGGCAAAAAAGCAGGCCCTAATGCCCTTACTATTTCCAAAAGCTTGGTTTCCTAGCAAATGAAGACATACCAAATCAGTAGATATTTCTTCAACAGGTTTATTCCTATCTTCAGCATAAACAAATTCCATTGCTGGCTGACTTTCTTCAGCCAGACCAGAGTTCATAAAACATTCCACCATAATAATATGATCTGGTTTGTTCACCATTCCACACTCCCTAGCCACACTTAGGGCCGTTAACATGTTGTCACCTGTAAAAGAAGGTAAAAAATGTCGGTTAGGTATTTATACATTTTAATATACAGCAATTTCAGAAATTATTGCAAGGTTTTTAGTAATCCGAAAAATGCGACTACTTAAGTATCTCAATAATGAGAACTCGCATTCTGCTATCTGATACACATATCTGTATGCAGCTTTTCTGAAAATTGCAATTATTAAACTCACATTTTTGTTCATTCTTAAAAAATCGCATTAATAAATGCATGCAATAATTTCTGAATTTACAGTAATTAAATCACTGTAAGGTAGGCATAGATAAGACAGCAACTAAAAAGAGATCAAAATGAGATAAAATTACTAATTAATTGTGATTAGCTGATCATCCAATTGGACAGAACAGACATCTAGAAGTCAACATATGGTCTTAAACAACAGATAAAGGTCAATACCATAATAAATCATTTTAACAAGCAAATAAAACTGTACATTGTTAAGTTTTGTTCGTCTGAAAGGTCATTTAAGAAATTTTCTACTAAACTTCAATGTCAACATTACCTTCTTCAGCTTTTTACACTAAAGCAAATTCTTCTGTTTTAAGGAGTTTTTGTTAAGACAAGTTTTATTGTGCCATTATGCAATCAAGATAGTAAACCAGCCTGCTTCTTTCCTCTTTTGACATTACCTGTTACCATTATGGTCCTCATGTCTGCATCTCTAAGTTCCTGAATGACAGCTGTTGTTTCTGGTTTAAGTTTATTCTCCATTACCAGAAATCCAAGGAATGTTAGGTCTCTTTCTACTTGTTCCCTATAAACAAATTTGCGAGAAAGACTCTTTAAAAGCTAGTAATATAAAAAAAAAGTGTTCCAATGTCCCCTGTAGTTGCACATATTTTATTGAAAATTTAAAACTAAAATTTGGCAAATAGAATGCAGACTAGCAAAAAATCTGAAAATTAGTCACATTGCATAGCTTTCCCATTAAAAATCAAGAAACTAAACAGTTGGTGAGAAAAATGCCACAGTTGGTAGCACAGACAGACAATAAATCTCTAAGTACAGAATAGAGCTGAGGTATAAATAAATGCTCTGTGTCACCATTGATGTATAAACATTTTCTAATAACTTTAATCTTTAACCAAAAGTGTCAGGATCTACAAATCGACATTAACTCACAAGCCTTATTTAGTTCAAGGGAAACAGTTATAATTTAAAATCAAAGAAAAACTTAGTAATAAGGACAAACAAGATACTAAGAAAAATTGCAATGAAACTTAAATGATGACAATAATACCTTAATAAAACATCCTACTTTGCATTTGTATACAAATATTCTATATCTTATAAGAGATGTGGGATACATATCTCTCTATTCATGTCAATAAACACTAAAATATTTGGTGATATCTTTACCTTTGAACTCGTTGAACCTTGACAAAGTTCATTTTACTAGATAATGGTTTCCATCCCATAGCAATGACTCTATAACCATGCTGGGTGTAGGATGATAGTTTCGACTGAAAGTCTTCTGGAACTGAAAGTCAATGGTAGAATAATTTATAAAGATTTCAGCTGTGGTTTTATATATTTCTGTATGTTACTTTTTTAGATTACTTTATTCCTGTTTTGCATATATAAGGTGTTATTAAGGGGATATACCTAGGTTAGGGGAGATTACTCTATTAATCAGAACAAGTTTGTATATTTGCTTTTTTTTTTAAGTATTCTAATGATACAGATTTTAATAATGTGTATTACTTAAAAGCATAAGATATATTTATGAAAATGATTGAAACAAACATACCAATAATTATAGGTTTCATTACGCTAGAGAATTGGATATCACTTGATATCAACTTGAGTTGTTTAATTTCAATATAAAAAATAAACGAGCCTTTGGCTCGTTTATTATTACTATTTAAATTAAATAACGAGAGTTGATATCAAGCCATATCCAATTCTCACGAGTTGTTAAACCTATTTCTCTTATAGTCAACACTTTTATTGAGTTGAATTAAAAATTCTGTGAATCGTTGATCAAATCTTTCGCACATACCAGCATGACATCATATGTCCTGTTCTGGCATCAAACTTCAACATCAGACATTTTATAACTTTTTGTACGCTTCAGAATGTAATAAATTTGTTAAAAAGAAGATTTCAAAGTGAAAAGTGTGAGTGTTTTGCATATTATTAAAGAAATCCTTTATGCCCATTGCCATGGACGAAATGTACATCGTCTTAACCTCTAAAAGTTATCAATGACTTAAAGAATAGCCAATGGAAATGTCGTAATATCGTCTCATGATGCTGGATAGGCCAATCAAATTAATGCAGTTTTTGTATCACTTTTTCGTATCACACTATGCAGTGTGATACAAGAAATATCTCTTCATTCAAGAAATAGATAACATGCCACACCTATAAGAGAATTCTAAGATTTATGTCCCTTGACGTAGGTCAACCTCCTTCAATAGTTGTTAGCATGAAACTGTCCTAAATTGGATTTACTTTTTCTCTCTCTCTGTTTTTCTGTCTTTTTACAATAGTGCCAAAATGTATCTGTTGGATGTGTACTGATTGATACTTTTTTAATTTTGTATTTTAATTTTGTATAATTTATTTTTTGTTATTTGTTCTGTCAAAAATCAGGCTGTTGGTTTTTCACCAGGGTATTTTATAGCAAACTATACAGCATGGGTTTTGCTCATTGTTGAAGCTGTTCAGTGACTATAATTGCTTAATTCTACACCATTTTGACTCTTTTTGACAGTTGTGCAATCAGACCACAACTCCCCTTTCTATATACATATAATTGAAAACTAACATTTTTAATTTTATTTTGAAAAATGTATTTTAATATCAACATTGTCATAAAATTCATAGATTTCTACATGTCAGTTGTTTATTTAACCATAGTCCTTAGATCCATAACCAGAACAAATCTGTTTGGATCAAAGAATTTTTGAGTGTACATTATACAAGAGAGCTGATTTTAGTGTTAGTTATAATCTTAAAAGTGTATTTTAATTCTCAAGAAGGAAACATCATTCTACAACAGAGATTCTGTTATTTGTTCTCATTATGAAACTTATATCAAAATTTCCAGATAAGCTGGACTAAAATATTTGGTTTGAATTGAATAACCAAAACTGATAATTATATACCTGTTTGTGGATTACATAAAGATGCAATCATTTCTGGAGCACCTTTACAGTACAATTCAAAATGGTCATCTATAAGATTTCTGACGATAACAGACATTCTCTGTAGGGAGGACGTGAAGGTGAATTGTCTAACTACACCTATTTGTACATTGTTACTACCCTGTAAAAGAAAACATATGGCTATAACAGACTATTTCTGAAGAGCTGACTTAAATCACCTCAGGCTTTCTTTACAATTTTGGGTATTGAGTTAAATTTGCTCGGAATTACCCTATATCTAGCTCTGAATAACCTTCTGATGTCATACAACGATCAGTTTTTAACTATGCATTAAATGTTTAATTTGTGATGCTTATTTTGCAGGGAAATATGTGACTTGGAGTAATGGCAGACAAATTTGCAAACAAGTGTAATGTAATACATCTATACTTTCTCTAGACCAGAATTTCTTTTTTGTTGGTTTGTTTATTTGGTTTCATTAATGCTTTACAAAACTTAAAGAATGCCATGTTTCCTTATTATCAAAGCAGCAGATCTTCTTCAAGAAACGAAGGTACTTTTTTGTTTTAACTTAGGTGTGAAAGTATATTCATTTAAGAATAAGTTGTAGTTTTCTTGAACTTATCATATAAATACTGAAATGATTTCATCTGCCTGTTTGAAATGATCAAAATTCTAGCAAAGATGTTGTTCTGCATTGCTCCTATTGACATTAACATTAAATTCAACTTCCCTTTGCTTTTCTTTGAGCCCTGTGATGGGACAGTAGAATTTCCTTAAGCAAAGGAAAATTTGACATAAATAAGAACTTACAAATTTGTAGTTTTTTTCAGCTTACAAAATGCATAATGAATACTGGAAATTCAGATATTTTTGTGCCCTTTTTATCATAGTGATCATTGCGGAAAAGGTTTTGCAAAAATAGAAAATTTGCATTTAAAATTTTGATTTGTATGCAGCATTTCAAGAAATCGCAATCATAAATGCAGGCAAAAATTGGAATTTATAGTAACTTATTTATGTTTAATGATATCTTTTTCAATTTGAAAAACAAAAGTCAAATCTAATGCACTGTTTTAAATGTAACATACAGGATGATGTTGAGATGAAGGGAAAACCACAGTAGGAACCATCATATCAAATCTACATAATGATTTCAATGTAACTTACAGGGTGATGTTTAGAGGATGGGAAAACCACAGTAGGAACCATCATATCAAATCTACACTCTTCCTGTCCTGGCTCTTCTAAGTCCTACAAATTATAAAGCATAGAAAAATTAAAATATTTTCTTGAGCTCTATAGTCTTTTTCAATACTTCTGACTTTAAATGATAGTATATGGACTCTTCATTATTCAAGGGATATCAATTTTTGTGGATTTCTTTGGTACAGGTTTGCCACAAATTTAAATGTTAAATGAAATAAAAATTATCTATAGGCTTGTATGCAGGCTTTGGCAAAGTCATGAAACCAAATGTCCACAAAAATGCAAGTTTTCCTCAATCCACGAAAACTGGTACCCATGAAAATAAAGGAATCAACATTACTATTGTTTACATTAGAAAAAAAACAAACAAAAAAACACAGATCTTGATTTTCCAGTGTTGAAGTTAAGAAACAATAAAGACTCTGTGTATATATCTTTAAATCATAATTTAAAATCAACAATTTATTTACTGAAATAGCTACACTGCAGGAGTAAACCTTGATTTCTTTATTGACAAATTTGACATAAAAAAAGGAGAGAAAAAAGTAATAAAAAAAACGACCTACCCATCCAATGGCCTCAAACATGATAAGATCCAAAGGATCACCACTGAGGTTCCCATCAATTATGGTCAGAGAATGACAAGTGGCCATATTATATACTAATGGTCCATTTCTCAATAACATAGCATCCTCATCTTCCTGAAATCTACAGTAGTAGTTATCGTATATAATTTGGTGAAAATACATTTCAAGAGATCCGTTTCAATGTCCTCCATGTTGCACATATTTTATCTGTCCAGGGGCAATAACTAGAAATCTTACAGAAATGAAGGCTTGAGAGAGAGCAAATGCAATGCAATTTCTGATATAATCAATATTTCCAAGGGGCATAACTCTTTTAAATATAATTGAATGGCAACTTATTTTCCAACTTGTCCAAGCAATTGCTGCTATAAACATACAATAAAAGTTTCATAAAAATCAGGCAAGAATTGTTCACATGAGAGCAATGCAATTTTCCATATAATTAATATTCCCAAGGGGCATGACTCTTTAAAAAAAATAGTTGATCGGCACTGATTTTTGAACTTGTCTGAGACATTGCTGATATATATAATTTTAGATAAGATCGAACAGACAGACACCGGGTATTTCTATGTACCCAGCAATGTGTGGCGCCTGGGACAAAAATCATTAATTTTTTTGTATTTAAGTACATGTAATTCTGCCTAAAATGGGCCATTCTTGGAAATAAATACTTTATTATTTCATTTTTAAGGTGAATATCTGATAATTATTCTAAACTCTGTCTTACTGCTTATTTTCAGCTTGAACAACACATTTCATCATTAATCCATCTTCTGTTAATGTTCCAGTCTAAAAAAAAATCATATATTAAAAATCAACATGGCAATATTGAAATTGATACTTTAGAAATCTTAAAATTTGACTTTCATAATTTTTTGGGTCATGTTTTCATTCTAGAGGGTATAAAAATGTAACACTCTGGCATAAAGTTCATCTTTCTTTCATTAAGAAATTTCAAACATCTTTATAAATACCCTTCTACATGACATCTTTTTTATTTTATGTTGTGTATCTCTTATTATTTTTGTACCAATGAAAGATTGACGCTTTTCTCGTTAATTTTTTTTTCTAATCTGCAATTTATAATATATGTTGAATTTTTTAATATTTTTTTTGCATTTAGTACAGCATAACTTAAATTCATGTCTTTTCTGAATTTTTTGTATTATTGTGTTGCTGTATCATTGACATTTTTTTTTTCAAAACAAAAGTTCATATATCTAACCGGACACCTGTGCATCAATTCCTGTCAGGGAATCATACCTTGTCAAAACAAACAGCATTAATACTGCCGCATACATTTATGGCTTTGGGACTGATACAGTATATTTTTAATGTTTTAAGTCTGTGTTGGGCAAAAACAATGCCCACAGCCAGGGCAGCCGGTAAGGCAGGAGGCACAGTTATAGTAATTAGATCTAGGCAGCGTAATATCATCTGGCTTGCTGTCTTCCCATTTCTGATCTAAAGAGAACAAAAAAATCAGAAGTTAAAATGTTTAAATTTTTTTTTAGATTAAACTTGGTGCATGCATTAAAACAATAAAATAATTTGTAAAGTTTCTGCCTTTTGTTTATGTAATATTAATAAACTGAGGTTGTGTACAATGCTTATTTTGTGTTTTTGAAGTTTTGCAATATTATTTTTTTTTCCTTTCCTGCAACAATATTTTGTTGATAAGGGTTATTGCATAAAGATAAGTTAAAGGGTAGCAAGAAGTGATATTTTTACATGGTTGTAGGTAATTTGTATTTGTACATGTATGTCTATTTGTTTTATGCAAAATTACCCAAGAAAGTATGTTGGCTGGAGCATGATTATGAAATCCATTTCTATACTCCAACATCTATTTTAATGGTATAGCCCTAATCCAAATCGTAAATAACAATTAATTTTTTAAATTGCATTGTTTAAAGTTACACATTTTGAATATAAATAGACAGAGCAACATTAATTCTATAATTTTTTCCCTGCACTAACCTCCATTATAACTGTATATATAAATCCTAAGCAAGCAATCAATGCCAGTACACCCACAAATTTGTATGTATCTCTCTCAAACTTAAAGTCCACTGGTTTTGGGAATAATATAGATTTGACTAATTCTCCTTTAGCTGTGTAAAATCCTGTTTAAATAAAGAAATAAGTTATTGCAAAAAAAATAAAACCTTTCCCCACATGTTGGTGTTTACCTGGCCATTTAAATTTTTGTAAATTGAACTGTTTAATTGAATAAATACAACAGATATAGTTTTCTGTGGAGTTCATTTAATGGGAACTTTAAAATTCTCCTTGAAAAATCAATCATTACCAAATATCATTGACTTGCCATAATTGATTCCCCTTGAATTCATCTAATCACAAAATTTAATTATTGTTGACACCACAGATGCCAGAAACAGCATACCAAAGTATGGCCTCTGAAACTTTGTTGAGGCAAGACAAACACTTGAGCTTTATTGATGCTCTTTTCCATTATTAATAAAACAAACCTGTTCTAACAACGACAGCTTTCACTTTTTGTGTTCCATAGTAACGTGTCTGTATAACATGTGTACCACAAAACAGAGTATGTCTGGCATGGTCTTTAATATCATACTGGATGTCTTTACTACCATCGTTTGTTTGAAGTTTAGGATTAGGTAATGGGGTCTTTGTTACTGGAACACTTTCACCTACAAACCAATTAATAGAATATTTATATTTATAGGTGAAAATGTGAGAATTTAAGATAAACTGGAGATTTGTTTTCTAAACCAACCATATAAAGTTTACAATATTTGATGTGCCTATCTGAAGTCAAGAACTGAGTGAGTGGTTGTCTTTTGTCATATCTTAATGTTTTTGTCATTTGGTGAATATTGTGTTGATGACAGATCTCTAATGGTCTGTTAAATTTAGTCCAAAGTTTTTAGAATTTGGATGCTTTCAAGCCTGACATATTTTATAACCACTAGGAAATGTCTGTACCAAGTCAGGAATTTGAATTGTTTTCCATTTGTTTGATGTGTTTGAGTTTTTGATTTTGCCATTTAATTAGGGACTTTCCGTTTTGAATTTTCCTTGGAGTTTGGTATTTTTGTAATTTGACTTTTTTCTATTGTTTACCTCTAGATCTTTTGGTGATTTGTATCTTTGGGTTGCTATCTCACTGATGAAATTTCAGAAATCTTTGCAATGTTTTATTTTTTACAAGCATACAAAATAAACAGATAGGTATCATACTTTTTATTATAATTTCAACTAAAAGTTATACATAAGAAGACTGTAATTAAATACACTTTACCAGTAAGCATGCTTTCATTAACAATACAATTTCCAGTAACAAGGACAGCATCACACTGCATAAAACATCCACGTCTTGGTATTTCTATGACATCTCCTGGTACTAAATCTTCTGATGGAATGTCTTCATATTCTACAATCGTCATTAATATAAGTTTTAAATAGATGAATTTATAATCTGTTTATAACATAAAAGACCTAAAATTTGAGGAAATATTTTATCTACTGTTTAACTGATCCCTGAAAAGTTGTTTTCATTTAACTTTCTGTACTGTAAACAAGTAGGAATAAAAATGTGTAATGAACCTTTAAAAATTTCCAAGTCTTAAATAGTTATTATAATCTGTGAATTTGTAAAGCTGTATATAAACTGTACATTTATTGAGATGCATATAAACTGTACATCTATTGAGATGCATATAAACTGTACATCTATTGAGATGTATATAAACTGTACATCTATTGAGATGCATATAAATTTATTGTACATCTATAACCTTCAGATGTATATAATATGTACATCTGTAAAGATATATATTAAATGTTTAAATATAAAAATAATAAGATGTGGTATGATTGCTAATGGGACAACTCTCCATCAGAGACCAAATGATGTAGAAATTTTCAACACAAGGTCACTGTACATGTATATACATATATATGCATCTTTACAGATATACAGTTTATATATATTTTCACCAATGTACAGTTTATATGCATCTGAAACAGCATACAGTTTATAAATGTTCATTAAGATTGCTTATACATACTAGAGTAGCTGTTTAAGAATACACCTTATCGCTATTTGTCCGCCATTACTGGACATCACAAAAGTTCCTGTAAAATTTTGACGTCATAATAGAAAATATCTGACGCCACAATGGAAAAGTGATTGTTGTATGACGTCAAAAGTTCAAACGGGACGGATTCTCGGGTCAAGCGGGACAGATTTCCAAATAGCGATAAGGTGTATTGAATTCAGTTTTTTTAATATTCATTTGAAATGAATGCAAGTAACAAATCGAATATTGCATGAAGCATAGGGATTCAATTCATACATTTCCACTACTGATCTATACAATACATACTTTCATCTCCTTTACACACAGTGACCACTGTAGATGACTGAATTGTATTCCTTAATGCTCGCTGTGCCTGAAAATTAAAAAATAAACTTCAAATCTGTGATCATTTTAACTATTTTTTGCATGCATAAGCCCCATTTTTACTCCTAAATTCAAACTGCTAGGAGTGCGAATTAAAAAGTATTTCAAGCAAAAAATAAGACAAAAACTTGATTTTGCGATTCCGCCATGTTTGTTCTTGAAATAGTTGAGGGAGCCCTTATTCCTTTTCAAATTCCAATTACTTTCTGAAAAATATAAAAATATAATGCTTCACTACAAATTTCTTCTTTTTATTCATAGCATTGCATAACCATATAGAAACTGCAAAATGTATCCAATTATTCATTGGATTTGGTGTTTCAGACTGCTGCCACTGTTTTGTTTTGTTTTGGCTAAAGGTCCTAGACACAAGTGATCAATTAATTTAACAGTATTTTACTAAATGCCAGCATGGTTTTACTTTCAAAGTCATATTCTTTTGTAATTTCCATTAAGTACTGGATTTCTGCACACTCTCAGCGAATTTGTTTGCAATTTACACATACTTTTCCAATTTCCAGTTAATGACAAACACAAATTTTCCCAATTTTTTTTGGGGGGGTCATTTTGGCTTCCATTAATGTTTTTTACATTTTATAAAATTGTAAACCAATCTCAAGAAAAATTAAAAGTCTTTAGCAATTATATGTTACTGAATGTTGATAATTTAGCCTATATGTTAAGGAACATGATCATTAAAATTGAATTTAAATAGCTTATCATCAATTGCGACATAAAGATATCACTGTATTTACATACTTACCTTTCTAATTTGATAAATTGTCATGGCAAGGGAGCCTACTGAGATTACAATGATACAAGCAGCATATATCTCATACTCATCAGAGAACCATACTGATACACTGAATGCTTGGAACACATAAAATGGAGATAATGCCTGAAATTATACAAGCAGCATATATCTCATACTCATCAGAGAACCATACTGATACATTGAATGCTTAGAACACATAAAATGGAGATAATGCCTGAAATTATACAAGCAGTATATATCTCATACTCATCAGAGAACCATACTGATACACTGAATGCTTGGAACACATAAAATGGAGATGATGCCTGAAATTATACAAGCAGCATATATCTCATACTCATCAGAGAACCATACTGATACACTGAATGCTTGGAACACATAAAATGGAGATAATGCCTGAAATTATACAAGCAGTATATATCTCATACTCATCAGAGAACCATACCGATACACTGAATGCTTGGAACACATAAAATGGAGATAATGCCTGAAATTATACAAGCAGCACATATCTCATACTCAGTGTTCTCCCCAGGGCCTTAAAGGACTACGGGCCCGCGATGTATAATTTTTTACCGTGGTGGTATCGTTCTTACCGCGATGTATTATATTTCTCCGTGGTGCTAAAATTTTTAGTTAAAAAATTGAAAATCGGTAAAGTTTTAAACGACTTGTTAAATCTTTTCCGTGCGGTATGAAATTCCAGGTGAAATTTTACCAGTTCAACCCAGTTCAGATTGTTTACACCACGTGATCGATTTACCTTTATGAAGTTAACCTTTGTTGATTGGATTAAATCGATGTAATTAACACTTGGAAAATGATTCTTTTGTGTTTTAATTAAGAGATCATAACTTTATGATCGTTGATAACTATTTTATGGCTCCACTCACCACCTGACAAGTCGGCAAATACTTTGTTCACAAACCGTGTTGACCTGATAGTTGTACACACGACGGTACACATTTTGTACATTATAAAGTTGGCTCATTATGTATAATTGACCATTATACACTTCTCAATACTTATATAATAGTATTATATGTCTCTGATTAAATCATAGCCAAATTATCTTTAATTTTGACATAGTTTATATTGCATGATATTCCGATAGTATCTGTCAACAAGTAGTTCAAAGGGGACGGATCACATGACCCAGTTAGTTCACATAGAATACCCAAGATTATTTACAATTAACTGCAATCTATTCTATTTTATAAATAAAATGCATGACCGTACCTTCAAACTGGATATCTATATCCATATGATAATTAATGAATAACAGAAGTAATTTGCAAATTTTATCCATAAGCACATGTTAAATCTATTTATATCTACTTCCTGTCATTTAGGCGGGAAAATAGGGAGACTTAGTTGTTGACATTGAATAGGGTTACTTATAGATCTATAGAACTAGGATAAATTTATAGATTAAGGAATTCTTTTTAAATGGATCATGACAAAAAAAGATTTAGATTTCAGTGCAGTATTAAGTCTGTATCTATGTTTGATTATCACTAAAGACAAGAAAAGTTAATATTTACATGAAATCTAAGGCAAAATGTTTTGAAATTTATGAAAAATTTCTTTTTATTAAAATTTAAGATAGAAACTGGTTCAAATAATAATACAATATTTATTCTTGTTAATTTTATATCTCCTTATGACAGGAATCCTTTCACAATACAACATCTTTCATTCTAGAAATAAGAAAGTTTTTTAAATTGAACATTTTTGTTTTCTTTTGAATGATATTTTATTCTTATTGATCATTGATTTTATAAAAGATTTAATAACTTTAAATTTAGATGAATATTTTGTAATGTATCATGTTTTATTTATTTTTAAAAAATATTAAAGTATACATGTCAAACTGTTTATTAATTTACTTCTTTTTTACCAATAGTTTTCAATGTCTACATAACACAGTACCACAGCATTAAAACAAAACAGGAGACATAAAAACTAGTTACTAGAAATATAGCTAAGCAATGCGACGCGACGCGACACAACTGATTGTATGAATCATTTCACCAAGCAGCCACACGCATTACCCTGGTGCTATCCAAAAATCCTGGGGAGAACACTGATACTCATCAGAGAACCATACTGATACACTGAATGCTTGGAACACATAAAATGGAGATAATGCCTGAAACTATACAAGCAGCATATATCTTATTTCATAAGAAAACTTGTTGCATAAAACACAAAAAATTCAGACAATACCTGAAATGATACAAGTTCTTTATTTCATTATTTCATAAGAAAACTTGTTTTTTGGAGCACAAAAATTGGGACAATGCCTGAAATTATACAAACAGCATGTATCTCATTTCATTAGAAAACCTGAAATTGAGACAAACATCTCATGATAAAAATTGGAACACAAAAAAATGGAGTAAATGCCTGAAACTATAACAGCATAAATCTCATTTCATAAGAAAACATGAACACTTAGAACACATAAAATGGTACAATGCTTGAAATGATACAAATAGCATATAGCTCATATTCTTAAAGGACCAATACTAAAACACTGAACGTTTGGAGAAATGAAGACAATGGTGAAAATTATAAAATCAAGATTTTACTTCAATATCTTCAAGTAAAGTTTTCTGTTTATGTGTTGAAATGGAAAGTCTGCAACATACAATTACATTTAGGTTCTTTTTAGAATACAATTTAGAAGCTGGTAGTTAATCAACCAATAACTAACTTAATAGTCTGCTTTCTTCAAAACAATTTCTTTCTTTCTGGTATAAATAATTAACTATTACATGATGCATTAGCAACTGTTTGCTTATTTAGTTTAAGCACTCACCTCTTTAAATAGTAAAACAACAATTGGACTAACATGTATAGCAATGGAATTAGTTCCATAAACTACCCTCCTGAAAAAATACATTTCTTTAAGTAGTTAAAATCTTATTTCTTTCAAAACAGTTGTTTTCAAATATGTTGCTCTCACTTATTTTTTCTTCATTTTGCTTGGAAATAAAAGAACACAATTTTGGTTGAGATTGTCGGTTTTTTCTTTTGCTTCTGCAAAATGACCAGGAGTGACCATTGTTGAAGACCACACTGTGACCAATAGTTGCTTACATCTATGTCATTGGACTCTGGTGGATAGTTGTCTCAATGGCAATTATACCACATCTCCTTATTTTTATTTATATATATTTTTTTTTTAATTCTATTTTTGAAAAATTGATTTTAATTGAACAAAGCATTGCTATTTCATTGCATCAATTTCCATAATGATGGCATTTAATTATATTGCATGTGTCTGTCATTATTTCCAGTAAGCGAAAAATAGCTCTACTGTATTAAACTCTTAAGTTGATTAAAAAAATCTCTAACATAACAAAAATCATCTTTTGACTATTTTTTAATTAAATTGGTCTTATAATTATATAAAATGAAATATCATTCCTGTAGCATTGCAAGTGCATCTAAGTTTTGTCTCCTATTCAATTTGTTGGCAGTCCTTTATAAATGAATTTTACAATGTGTTAAGATATGCAAGACAATGCAAAAAATAAGTTCAAATTTATATTTCCATATACATTAATTTTAATATTGTGCAAAAATAATTGTCATCTTTACATGTACTGTTTGTAACTGGAGAAGATGGTGGAATAGAATCTAATATAAGCCAACCAAATGTAGATAGCTAAATTATTGTCTCTTTCTTATTTTAACAGTCTTTAGATATAGTGCAGCTATTTTATTTCTCATCTATAGGTCTTGGATTAATAGTTGTATAAATGGCAATCATAACACATCTAATTTCATGGATGATTTTCCTCACAAAAATATAAAGTGGAAACAGCTGAAAAGAAGCCCATCACTTTGTATAATCAAAAAATCTTTTAATTCTTGTCCTGTTGTCACTTTTGGATAGTTGTTTCGTTGGCAAACACACCCCATCTCCCTATTTTATATAATAAATAAATCCCTATTGACCATAGCAGAAAGCAGAATAGAATCATCCTTGTTATTTATAAACAGAACTTTTATTATTTCCCACAACTACAGAAGTAAGAATAAAATCATTTCCCACTCAGACCTCCAGGCTTTCCTACCACAACCTGTGAAAAGATTTAAGCTAGTAATAATAACTTACCTTTTGATTTGGTCAGTATAACTGAGTCCCTGAGATTCATGGAAGAATGAACACATATTTTCATCTAGTCCTCTATAATTAATACAAAATATTTTAGTTAAATACGAAGACATTTATCTTTCAACATTACTTTTGTTACCACAATAGTCAAAACAGATATTCATCCTGCAACTGTGCTATTTGCTTGGGCCAAATGCATTGACCATATAAACTTCTGCTTTTTACAGTCACTGATTGTTTAAAGCCTTGTTTATAATAAGTTTCTGTAGAGTTTTATCTACATGTATAATGCCATGAAAGAATGCAGGTTCATTTAATTTTTTTCATCCTTTGATTCAAATTCAAAATTGATTTCTACACAAAATATTTTATTTGGAACAATTTAAAAATTGCAGTATAAATATCAATCGTACATTGTCTAAAAACAATAATATTTGCACATGTTGTCATGTTGTACTTGGATTGAAACAGGATAGAAATGCTTGGCAATAATTTTATATCTTGAGAAAATGTAAAGTTATTCTATATGCCAAAGTTATAAAGGAATGAAAGGTTTTTGCAATTCAACTACCAATGTGTTTTAGACATATGCTTTGATATTATTGAACCACATAATCTGAAATCTCATTGATAATAGACATTTTCCCCTATAGCTTATAAGGGATATTTAAAAAAAAACTTGCACCTAAGAAATATGGTTGAAAACAATACTTTTGTAGAATTCTTCATGTCTCCTTAATTTTAGGGAAACAATATTATTTACTTCAATTTTACTAAAATAATAATTTGAAGGAATTTTCAAATTTCATTCCCGATTCAATTACTACAAAACAGTACAGAAATTTATGATAACTTGATACTAAAAAAGAAACAAAAATTTTAACTAACATTTTCTTTATATAGTTATAATTGTCCTTCTTGAAAATTATGTTATTTAGGAGATACCCATTGTATTTATAAGTTTTTTTGATGTTCAATCAGAATTAAAAAAAAAATTGAAGACTTTGGCACACAAACATTCAGAAACTGCATGATAATTCATAAATATTCAGTGTAAAATGTATAACTCTGACCAAAGATGTTGTTTGCCTTCATGTATGCTTCAGATAGGGACAATATCATGAAAAAGAGTATAGAGGGTTGACGTTTTTTCTAATTTGTCTTCTATTGGACATATCTGGTATTTTCAAATATGGAGAATATAATAGGGTTCCATAATATTGTTCAGAGAAACATGAAATATTCTTAACCAAATCTCTACTTAGTTTCTTTAATGATTTTTATAAATACACTTGCACAAAAAAACCTTCACAGGTTAAAGTTTTATATTTAAAAAAATATAGCCTTAAACTCCATATTACAAAACCAGTGTTGGTAAACATTCTATGAATATATACTTACTTTAACTTTAAAAAATCTGATTTCTCGGTATTCCAGACATATTTGACCTTCTTAACCATAAAATATTTCACTAAACTATCATCCTTCTGAAAACAAATATAGAAATATAAATTTTGCATAAAGTAAAAATTCAAGAAATGAAATATATACGGTAGAACTTCAATCTCAATGCATCATATATAGATAAATATTTGTTCACACTGTGTTCTTTAGTAAATGTATTTCAGATAAGCACTTGAAAAGTGAACAGAATTCCTCCAGGAGGTTGCTAGAATTCAGTTAAGCTGTTTCGAAGGAATTGCAGATAAACTTTAAATGTCAAGCCATACTAAAATGTCCCTATACTACCATAAATTCACAACAATTAATATTGTTATATCTATTATAAATTTGAAATTTCTACGATCACAGATAAAGTTAGATACAGGCTGCCAATAAAGAACACACTTCACATTTTACCTAGCATACATCAATAAAATTGCATTAGGGCTATGTCAAAATCATATGTATAGGGTTTGGGGTGGGCGTAGAAAGGTATTTCTCTCCCCAACCCATACAATTTTATATAAGGTGCCTTTCAACCAAACCCTGCATACAGTAAATTCTGGAATAGCCATTATCATAGGATTGAACGTCTTTTTAAAGGAATTTGTTGGTGTATAAACTGGAACAAGTCACTCACAAACATATCATAAAAGCCCTTCGAACTGGACAAAGTCACTCACAAACACATAAAAGGCTGAAGGACTTTAATGATATATTTGTGAGTGACTTGTTCCAGTTTATACACCAATATATTTCTTTAAAAATGTGTTTAATCCTTACAGTTCTTTAAAATCGGAGATACGGAATTTAGTTTACTCACTCGCAACCTTTATCACACTTAACTTGTATACTAGTGTCATTGAATTGGCCTGGCGCATGCATATTTATTGGTTAACGCAAAAAAATGTACTCCATGAAATTTGCGATCTGATAAAAAATTAACTACAAAAATGTCTTATTATCATTCAAATGAATGTTTTGTGTTTATCATTTTTAACATGTTAACGATGTACACAAAGTGAAAATAATAATTTTTTAACATCGAGCCGGTTTGTGTTATTATCACCGCCATATTGTTCGGTTGCAAAAACTAGTTCTGTCAACGTCCTCTATCCAAAAATAAATAACTTCAAGAGCCACTACAGAAAGCCCTCTCAACCAATCATATAAATGTGTTCCCAAATATGCAAATCATATAAGAATTATTTAATATTTAAAATACTTCAGTAAAATTAGGATACACATTTCCAAACTTATTTCGTTGTTTTTGTTTGTTACACTAATATATGTTCCCTGTCTAACTATACTCACAGAACTGTAATTACAAGAGTTCTCATAAGTTTCTGTTGTTTCCTGAAAATAACAATAAAACACAATCAAAGAGCTGAAAGCTCTGAGGAAAAATGACGCCACTGTCTCTAATATTGTGATATTTTTTATGCAAGTCTTGATTTTCACATACCGTAATTAGTTTAACATTCCAACATGTCTCATAAGCATATAATTGATATTCGTATATGTGTGTGTTATGTGAAGATGACAACTGGCTGTTTTTTTAGTACAAATGTATAGGTCAAGACTACCTGAATGATCTACAGTATCCAATGACTACTGGCTGTTTTTTTCTATAAATAAATAGGTCAAGACTACCACAATGATCTACAATATCCAATGACTACTGGCTGTTCTTTTGTACTAATAAATAGGTCAAGACTATTTGAATGATCTACAATATCCAATGACTACTGGCTGTTCTTTTGTACATATAAATAAAGACTACCTGAATGATCTAAAGTATTCTAAGTAATGTGATTTTTGTCTTGCAATTACATTTTTCTAAATCAAGAATATAGACTATAGTATCCTTTTCAAACCAAATGATTATGAAGAGCCTGTTGTTATCAAGCTCTTATACCCCACATACTCATTAAATAAGTTACTAGTGACCTAGTTATTTCTGTTACTTGAAGCAAATTATATTTCTGTAGATTTAGACAATAGTATAATATTGTATTACTAGTTTTATTTCACCTTGAAGATTAGACAAATAGGGATTCTCCTTTGATTTTTTATTTCATGTCAGTCAGGTCGCTTTATATGAAACTTGAAACCACTTCTCTGCCATATTGTTATTTCATAACAACTCTGCCCTTGACCATGTTGACCCATGTAATTGATATTCATTCTTTAACCATATATTATAGTCAGTTAGTTTTTGATTTCGCACTCCCACACCACCTTTCAGGTCAAATGTCTGTCTCCATTTAAGTTAATGACATTGAACAATCATGGTATTAAACACAATTCCAATAGTGATAATGCTGTTCTAGTAGGTCACCATATATTCAACTCGGGTAGCATTCCAGTTATTGAAATTTGTGTCAGATTAGAACAATGATCTAGACCTTTAGGAATGGATCTTACAATTTAATATGGAGCCATAGTATGGGACCCCTACACGGTAACAAAAAAAAAAAACAAGCTTGAAAAGATACAACGTCAAGCGGCAAAATCTATCACCAGAAATTACAAGTCAAGAGAGGATGGATGGGATACGTCTCTAAAATGCTTGCCCAATTGGAACTACAACAAGATCTCCAGACAAGACGAACAAGGAGTTGAAGCCAGAAGTTAATATTTATGTAAAAAGTAGTTGAGGGGCTGATTCCCGCTATTGAACCATACTGTCATTCTATAATATTATTGCGTAAGTATTTCTGTATTGTCCTTGTTATTGGTCCATGTCTTGGTGTATTGGTCCGAGGCGAAGCCGAAGGCCAATACTGCTGGCCGAGGACCAACAATAAGGCCAATACAGAAATACATGTAATAGTATCTTTATTAATTAACTACAGTGTTACAATATTTTTTTATTTCATTTCACAAGAGATAAACATTTTTACCTTGAAGTGGAACTATCCAAATCTCAGTTTCTTTTTATAAGATGCAATATCTAATGATTTGGTGCCATTTCCATGCATCTTCAGCCTTTTCTCATCTGATGAATTTTTCTACCCTTTCCAGTCACTATAAAGTGTTACAACTTTAATTTAGACACAACACATAAATAGTAATTGGAAAGGTACTGCCATTGCATGTGTTATGCAAATATATTTAAAAAAAAAATAATGTAAGAGTTGAAATTGATACAACTATCCATAAGCCAATTGACCAAAGAACGAAGATTTGCGCAATTACAGAATGCATATGCCTGGTTCGGGTTTAAAAATAAAAGACCGTTTACAAAACATGAGAAGCGAAAGTGAACAGTAAAAATCGACATGATGAAATTATGAGGTCGTCAAGAAATGAACTTTGTGATAATTTACTCGTTCCCTAAACCTGAAATATTTCCATCGTCTACTTTCAAAATGCTTTTCAAATGAATGGGACCGTCTTTAACCTAAAATATATGCCATACTGAACGTTTCAGCTTGTTTATGGTGAGTAAATAAAAACTGCGTCGTACAAACAACTGTTTACTTTCAGTTTGAGTTTATCGTGACTTACGATCTAAAAACTAGAGACGTTCCGAAATCCAGTTTTGGCCGGATCAGAACTCGGCCAATACGGAAAAAAAATCTGTATTGGCCGAGTTGACATCTTATATTGCATATGCAGTTTTCATCATTTTAAGTACAATAACAGTGTAGTTAATTAATAATGATACAGTTACAGACTCTGCTGCTATAACTTTGTGAACAAAGATTCATACGCACCGCGTGGGTATAACCGTATTACCAGAGACATATAATACGTCTCTGGTATTACTAATTTCCGATTATTAAAATCTTCGTAAATCTTGATAAAGACCAGTTTCTATCCAATGGATATCAAAATGATTCCGATTATTACTTTTTAAACTTTTTAAAACAAGTTGAAATGGCACGAATAAATATATATGAAAAATATAACAAAGGGATAGCTCCAAATACCATTTAATAACAAAAAACATATGGACAGGTCAAGATATCTTTTTGGTAAATAAAATAACATATGTAAACTGGTTCCCGTCCGACTACAACACTTTAACAAAGACTTTGTTCGAGTGTAGCGTAATACAAGCAGATTCCAGTTAGTATGTAAAATAGTAAATATGAAACCGAGTGCGGTAGGCGGAGGCATAATCAACTTCCGTTAGTTCTGGTCAATGGTATCGGAAACATGCCGCTGATAGCGTCATTTTCCAAAAATGTTACAAATAATGTGTTGAAATAAGCTAAAACTTGGTGTGAATAAATTCAGGAGTAGAAGAAAATGTCAATGAGACAGAAACCTAAATACACAAACTGATCAAAGATAAATACCAAGAGATCATAACATTGCCTCAATAAGTAGATGAGCATACTGACTGCTGGAAAGCTCCAACTTGCCAAAAATATCTAGCAAGTTTTTTACAATAGTGTTCTCCCAAGGGCCTAATAATACTAACTATGGTACCATGAGGCTATATATTTTTCTTTGGTCTATCTGAATAGATTTTATATTAGAATGCTTTATAAATATTGTGATATAATCTTAAGGAAACAGTACTTTTTCTAATCCTATAGTGTCAGTGATATCTGAAATTACTTTGGACAACATAGCACATTCAGTATATTTTCTGCATCTCGGTGCGGTCATAAGATCATATATATTTTTGTATTAGTTTTATGGTTTGTTTTTTTAGGATATAAAAATAATGTGATGTGGTACTTTTGCCAATGAGACAACTCTCCACCAGAAACCAAATGACATATAAGTTTAAAAATAGTAAAGGCCTTCAACAATGAGCAAAACCCATACCACATGTTTCTTTCTGATAATCACTGAAAAGATTGAGATCATATGTATAAAATTAAATGAAAATATTTAACTAATTTATCAAGCCTAAATTCCTATTTATTGGCCTAAGGAATATGATTCTTCAGTCAACTGTATTATTTTGATTTTCTAAATAAACTTTAAGGTAATATGTATATATGGCTGTTCTTATTGTATTCTTTCATATACTGACCTATAATACATGTAATATATTATAATAAATTTTTGATATCTTTAATTCTATTTAGGGTATGTAGGGCCAAAAACTTCAGTATTAAAGTGGTCTTTCTGATTTGGAAATGAACAGCCCAAAATATGACATTTTGAACTTTGAATTATATTTGATATTTTAAGACTGGTGTATATTATGGAGAAAGGTTACCTTGTATTGCCCAAATAGAAAAGTTTTCTCTGAAGTGTATTGGATCATGTTGATACTTTGCATATTGATTGGTGTATTTTGAAGAGATATGTTACCTTATTAGAACCAAGCATTAAAATGTTCACTCATAAAATGAGAACAACACTTAATAAATTTGCTAAGAAGTGCTTTTCTGGATTTACTTTCATCATGAAGCTCAAACCCCAAAATTTAAAAGCCATGTGTGTGCAAGTATCTGAATAGGTCAGAAGTTATTTAATTAAAGGGGACCTAAAAAGATATTTAAATCCATCTAAGGTTAGCTTTGTCTGATTGAGTTGTAACCTTAGTTTCTTTAAAATTATTTCAAAATTCATCAAACGAGAATTTTAGGAATGAATGTTATAAGTGACTTGATCATGTTGAAACATTTTACTAGTGTATGTTGATTAGATAAACTACCTTGTATCTTGACATGTTTTCTAATTCCCTGTCTCTTTGTTTAGGTCTAAAGATTAGGGATGCTGATGGCTTGACAATCTTAACACAGGTTCCATCTTTTGTTGTGATGATAACTCTAGAAACAAACCACTGTAAATATTGGTCCTGCAAAAAAGAATCATTATTGTTTTAAATTATAACACAATTTCTATCAGTAACAGCTGATGTAATAGCCTTTTTTAACAATTAGTGTTAACATCATATAAATGAGCATTTAAAATTATATGTCAAATATGTGTATAATTCGTCACCAAACCAATAAAACATATGGGTACATTTTTATCCATCCACAAATGTTTTATGATCAGTTGAATATACTGCTACATATAATATTGATAACCAGACTATATCTGATATTCTGGCAATAGCAATCTGTTTTCAGCATTTAAGTCAGCATCATGATCAGCAAAATGTTATGTGTTGTAAAAAAAAAATAGCTATATCTGAAATAAGTTTGTAAAAGTAGTTGTTTTTCATTTGTTTCATATTTTTGTTCGCTTTGTAAAATTAAATTTTGTCACCTAGAAAGGAAACAATCAAACCAGAAACTTAGATCAGATTTTTCGGATAATTCTTCTAGTTCCTTTGTACATGTAAAGATGTCAATTGTTAATTTTCTCTTTTTTCAAAACAAGAAAATCTATAATATGAGCATATCAAATTTGCCAAATTTGATTTATAGGTAATCACAGACAGAAGACTTGTATTTCTGATCATAAACTAAGTATAATGAGTTGGCAATTGTTTTGTCCATTTCCTGACATGACCTAGATATAATACCTACCTGTAATAATACAGAGTCTGCCTGATGTAGGAAGCACTTGTCATGAGTAAATTTAAGTAACCAGTGCGGTAACCAGTAGAAAACCAGTCGTAACAATCCACCAGTCAGTATGTATAAAAAGTATGCAATAGCTAGTTTCCATCTATTCTTTTTGTACCCCTCTATTGACTGAAAATATATTTAAAAAGAATGGTGTAAATAATATGTACATTGTATCTAGTAACACAACTTTCATTTTGTTCATCATATTGATCATAAGTTGGTAAGGGAGATAATTCAATTGAAAAGTATAAAAAAAAAAAATTGTGACATGGTTATCTCCAATTTTACTATTTAACAGAAACAGCACCCTTAAGCCCTGCTTTTTTACTCTGTCAAAGTGAGACAATAAGATAGATCTTTATCTTATAGAAAGGAGAAATATGTCCTGTCTGTAGACAAAATTCATAGAAAAATGAATAAGAGTTTGAACTGAGTTTATTCTACAACTATTCATACAAAAATTAAAAAAAACTTTAAACCATAAGAAATGAAATTGAAAATACTTTCTAATAAATTAAAGTTTTAGTTTTTCTAACTATGCTTTTAATTGAATGAGAACATTTGAAACACGCCAAATACAAAAGAGAGTAGGCAAAATCTTGACAAAATCAATATTTTCAGAAGGATTTTGATGCCAACAATGATACATTTAACAATATTTTTATTGCAATATGCTTCAGTTATGGGAAATGAAATTGCTGCAAGTTGAGCTAAAAATGTTAGTGAAGGAAAGCTCTGTCTCATGCATCTTTTCCTATAAAGATAGTAAAGGAGTAGGTCTGGTAAGGGCCGTTTTTGGCCTCAAAATTCAGGTTCATCTGATGAAAGATTTTGGACACTTTTTAAACACTTAAGTGTCTACTTCAGTCGATTCGATTAGTTTATGTGAAAGATTTGAACTGATTTAGTCATTAACGACGCTCAAATTCAAGCTTAAATATGAAAAATCTATCAAGTATGCCATAATATGTCACTTTTCAGATGGTTTTTGTCAAAAATGAAAGTGGCCGCATCCGTGTTCATTCTCAACCTTTATATATGTTATGTATTATCATCAAATACAACTTGCATTTAAATATTAAGAATGAACACAAATGCGGCCACTTCCATTTAAGACGGAAACCGTCTAAAAATTAACCAAAATGCTAAAATTTCAAAGATTTCAGTAATTTAGCATGACTTAATGATGCTAATACCCGATACATGTGCATTGTATTGTCAAAAACAGCCCATATTTAAGTAACAGAAGTATTCTTCTTTCCAATAAATAGCTAAAAATTTACATTTTAACAATTTTGTAAAACTGCTATATTTTGGGGCCAAAAAGGGGTCTTACTGGGCCTTCTCCTTTATGATATTATTCTAAAAACTGCTCAAAGACAGTAATCAAAGTGCTTGTAAGCACTGAAGGGTAAAGATTGCTTTAATTTATCAGTGGGAAGTAAAATTAAATATAGCATTGTATAAAGCATCGGTTGTAGTTGATTCAACTACAATTCTGGACAATGAAGATAACTCCAATTTTTAAGGATGACTTTAACAATGACATCAATGATATTTTTAGAAAAGATATTAGATTCCTGCACCTTGCAAAAGTTAAGTAATTTTCTTGACAAGTATAACTTCATTTTGTGACTTGAATATCTGAGCATATATTTCATTGATACATTTCTGGATAGGATGTATAGAATGTTATGATCAATGCACTATATTTTGTGTATCTCAAAGGTAGTGATAAACCTTGGAAGATTTAGATATCAGTCAGTACTATAGGGTTTTGATTGCAATTTCATGCAATCTTAACCCAAAAATGTATGTAATTTTCATATATTATCATCATTTGTGTGTCATAAAATGACATTACCATTTGTCTGTAATAAACTTAAATTAATACCCCTTGTGAAACACCCTTTGGGCATCTGATTGTGATATAGCTAATAGAAAAGCATATTCCCTTGATATTTTTAGGTAACCCTTTACAATTTAGGAAACACTTTACAGGCAGCAATAGTAATCATGGCATTGGCTAATGATAATCAAATGTATGTCAATTAAGTACTGGTACAATCAAAGCAAATATGACCTAATCAGACAAGTTTTAAGGGAAACAAGTCATATGATTACTTTTCATGCTTTTCAAGACCAATGAGAAAGGAAATTTTACAAAATGTGAAAATCAACAAAGAAGATTTATATTTCATATTTTTCATTGTTTCCCCATCAAGTTTCACTGGTTTTTTTTGTTATACAGGTAACTTATTTTCCATTCGTTCTGTTGGTTGATATAAGTCCAACGTTCCATTTTGTCAGTTTTTATGGACTTCCCCTTTTTGAATTTACCTTGGAGTACGGTATTTTTGTTAGTCTTTTTTGTTAATACAGGTTCTACTTTTTTCAAGAGAAAGTAACAGCAGTAATTCAGTGTAAGCTTTATCATAAAAAACAAACATTTTCTTCATCATTACACCAGATGCACATTTCAATAATTAATATTTTTTCAGTCATGCTCGAGGTCAAAATTTTTGAAAATATTTTTTACTACCTGCACTATTTTATTTGTTTTATCTTCATAATAAGTGTAAAACTTATGTTGTCATTTCGGAAACCATGCAAATAGCTATAGATAGTAAACAGGAAGAATACAAACCACAAGAATGTAACTTATAAATCTCATTATGATCATAATAACATGTACATCTTAAATCCATGTATCATGTGTATACAACCATTTTATTCATATTACAAATGTGCTAATAAGTAATGATTAAATGTAGATCAGTTCTTTCAACAAATGTCATCAAGGTCATTATATTCGAAGGTCATTATACTTCATCTTATGTATTTATATAGATATCAACATTTCTTATTACTTAGAATTCTGAGCACAATACTCAATTTGTACATAACATCTAAAATCTTTGTATTCAACCATTTTATTCATATTACAAATACACTGATGTGCAAAAGATCAATTCTTTGAACAAAACGTCATCAAATTCCATCTTAATATATGTATTTAAATATATCAACAATCTTTCTTACTAAGAAATCTCAGCACAGTACTCAATTGTTTTCCCTTTGGAAAAGAAAAAAAATAACATTTTAATGACAATGGGACTCCTGCTTGTGTTGAGAGATTCAATGTGAATTAAGGTTCCAACTCCCTATTGTCCTAATTGACCTTAGATGACTTTGGCTGTTCCTCTTACATTGAAGGTCCTTTTTGGTCATAAATGTAGCTACTAAAGTTTCTACATATTTCTACATTTTGTAAATCCCAGGCTTTCAAATTTTTGGGATTGAGCGTTCCTTATGGAGGTTGATCATCTTCAGATGCACAGAATTTATAAAGCGTTATTTTTAATTGATATATACTTACCATCTGGTCTTCGGTTCCAGGGTTGACATATCTCTTGGAAGGATTCATTGGAGGGGGACCTGTGACCCATGCTGATCTCTTTACCATTGCTGAAAACATGGAGATTTATATATTTTAAAAGAAGACAAATATGGAAAGTACAATGAAGCACACAAGATAGTATCTTCTGGAAAACATAATATCTATATACAGAAACAAGAAGTGAATATCCCCCTCTTTTTGCTAAGCGTGGTGATCTCTGCATGTTCATTATACATGTACATGATACATGTATAAGGGGGGGGGGGGGGGGGGGGGGGTGGAATACTTGTAAAAGTTTCTGTTGGTATATACATTGTATCTTATCAACATAAGGGATAAATGAGTGAGGCAACATGTTATGATGTCCATAATTTTAACACTTTTTGTAATCAAACAAGCTTAGAAAAATCACAACATATAGGGCCATATAAATTGCAATACACATCTATAGAGTTAACTCTACAGTGATTTTGTTTGCCTTATTTTATACCCAATTTAATGACTTTTCCCCTTGAAAAACTGACGTATGTTTTTAAAAAAAATCAATCAATGTAAAGTTTAAGGATATCTTATATGAACAACAAATTGTTATCTCAGAAGGTCTTTAATCAACATGATCAATATAAATCTAATTTACAACATCTGGTGTATTATCTGTCAACAATCAATTCAGACTGATAAAAGTACTTAAAATAAATTTCGAGGGCAAATCTGAGATTCAAATCTTTGCTTATTACTTAATCCATGTTAGCAGGACTGATATCTATTTAGACTCTAAATAAAATTTACTTACTGCATTTGTACTTAACTGATGGTCCTTTAGTGAGTAAACTTCATTTGTACTTCAAAACAGTTAATAAAAAGAAGAGAAAAGAAAAAATCCATTTCCAGACTGAAAAGCTTCTGCAGATTTGTGGCTCAGCAATACATGTAGCTACAATATTTTTGGCTGCTAGAATTGCCTTACTTTACGTTTACAATCTTTTTGGCAGGGTTAGGGGAAACAAACAATCTCTTTAGCATGACCTTAGCAGCAAGCCATAGGCTGTATGCAAATTTTTTTGGAAAATTTTATAAACATAATGCTTTTGGCCTGTAGTAAAAATTCTTACAGGCCTATAAGAATTTTTACAAGCCTGGGCTGGTGGGCCTGTGTCCAACCTTGAAGCCTCAGTTTATAGATTTTTGTACCAACCATCATGTTTATGGTTCATGTGTACAAACATTTAGGTTTACCGGGTCACCATGAGGTATTGACTATGGCTGTGTTAATAAATGTGTTTATACCACAAAATTTACAATGAAATCAAACAAACCTTGTTTGAAAATTTTCTAGGGTGCAGGTTTGCCTGTACTCTCATTGAATAAATATTAATCAAAATGATTATTTAAAATCAGCAAGACCAAGAAAAACCATCACAGCTAAAATGTTAATTACTTTCAATCATCCAAAGTTTTTATTTTTATCACTGAAAAGCGATACCTCTTTTAGGGTATAATTCATATACCTTGGGGTAATACCCATTCATGAGGATTTAATCCAACGGTTGAACCTACATAACAGTTAATACTGGAAATAAAACTCGAAATAAATTATAAGAGAGTTAAACTTATCCGTTGTGCGACCAACAAGAATAGAGAGCTTTAAATCTGCTCTCGCGGACCGTCAATAAATTGACAGCGCCTTCATCTCGTTTTATTTAAGCCAGTTTTGGTTACTACGACGTATTCATAAAAATACTGATATACGGCCATATTTGTCAAATAAAATTCTTCATTTACGCGCTTTGACGTTTGGGTATGGTGGATATGAAAATAAATTTCTGAAACTGTTTTTGAGGGCCTCAAACTAATTCTAACTTCTTTTTTTCGATAACCTTTCATTCCATATATTTGTAATCACCTTGAATTTACAAAATACGATGTTTCTTTACAAGATTTTTTAAAAGTTCATGTTACACATGTTATTGTATTTCCGGAAGTTGTCAAATACAGAGAATGACAAAACCCCAAAATGTTGCAAAGCACAACGACGTCCTCCAATAAAACTGTCCCAAAATTTATCTGTTGACTCTGGTGTATTTCCAGATCGACGAAAGGAGGCACAAGTCACCCCACTTCATAAGAAAAATGACATAACCAGAAATTAGTAGTACTTTTGCTAATTAATATTCATAATATGTAAATGAAAATTGTACCACGTGATAATAGTTTGAACGGGACTGGCTTGATATCATTAAAATGGAAGCAAGACAACTCGCCCCACTGCCAAATCGCTTCACCAAATCGCCCCACTGCCAAATCGCTTCACCAAATCGCCCCACTTTTTAAAAAATCGCCCCTCTTGTTTACCAACTCGCCCCACTTTCTATAAATATTCTGAAAAACTAGAATTTTAGTCTTGTTTGTATTTACACTCAACTGCCATTTAATGCAATATTTATTAGTGTGTCTAACGCATTTTGAAGCCCCTGGTGTGTCTCAGACAGTAACACTAAATCATCTGCGTAACTGAGAGTTTGGATACTTGAAGTATCAAGAACTGGAGGGTTTATACAAGTTTCATCAAAAATTGAATGTAAACCATTAATATAACAATTAAACAAAGTAGGACTTAAACTGTCCCCTTGTCTTACACCTTTAATAAGATCAAGGATTTGTATGGTCTTACTATACAAATCCTTGATAAGATATAATGACAAAAAAAGTATATATAATTATAGCCCAGTTAGTGTTCTACTTTTCCCAAGTTTTATGAATAGGTATTAGAAACTCAACTGTCTGATTTATTTTTTATCAAATCTTTAATCCATATGTGTGTGCATTTAGAGGAGGTCATGTACGTCAGACCATACTACTTAGTCGTTTAGAGGATTGGAAAGAGGCCCATGATAATAATCATTACATAGCCGCAGTTTTTACTGGGCCGTGCCTCTCCAAATCTTTTGATTGCATTTCTAATGTTATTTTACTTGACAAACTTTCCTTTTGCAGTGTTTATTCTCATTCAATGTTCCTTTTAAGTTCATATCTATCAAATAAAATAGAACAAATAAAAGTGCCCGGGCAACATTCCGCTAAATTGTTGGAACGGTTTTATAAACAATAGTTTTTTTTATTTTATTAAACAGAGGACATTGTCATGAAAACTACCGCAGATGCCAACACATAATCGTTATATAGTCCTGATTTTGACAAGCTAATATCTACACTAGACGATACGAAAGTTTTATTTTGATTCGTTTCACATATATCATTACGAATCTAAGCTCTTGAGAGCTTTTTACCGAATATAAATAACACATGCATAAATTAACATTTATTCAAAAGCAGAAAGCATGCAGATAAGATATATAAAGATATATATAAGAATATATATCCTAACAATTAATTGACTGGTTTGGATTTAATAAAATGCAAGCTAATCTTGACAAATTCCATTTGGATATTTATTTCACCACTTTTCCCTTGAGCTGAACCATTTAACGAATCTAACTTAAGCTTGAGCCTCGGTATTTTGGACCGACCATATAAAGTAATTTAGATCTTAAAACAATCAGATCAGTGAAGTCTATACTATATGTTTGGTTAATATATAATATTGGTTGATTGATTGTTGGTGTTTAACGCCACTTTTAGCACACTTGGCTAAATCATAGTGACCAGTTTTAATAGGCTGAGGAAGTCGGCCAGTACACGGAGAGAACTGTTACAACCGACCTTCAATAAGAAAACTGGCAATCATAGTCAATGAAATTGGAAGCGAACGCACCTTGCCAGGAACGGGATTCGAGTTCACATAAGTGCTTACAAGCTAGTGTAGATGAACTACTTATACATGTACCACTCGGGCACCGTTTATTTTGTAGGTTATACTATTGTACGTTTTCATTTTCAATATTAAGTGAAAATTAATCTTTTATGTTATAAAAACAAAGGATATGGGGTATCAATCCAAGACACACAATCACTACATGCACAGCAAGAAACACACAAACGGCAATAAAGGAACAGCGCTTTTTTTGCTGTTCTTCATGTCTAAGTCACAATGAGGCCTTCAACACGGAGCAAAAAACCTCTCACCTCACTGCAAGTTTGAAGTCGGCCCCTTGCACCTGCTTGAGCGGAATTCTTTTCAAAAATAATTCGGATAGATTTTTCAGTGGCGGATCCAGAACTTTTCATAAGGGGGGGGGGGGGGGCGCTGACTGACCTAAGGGGGGCCGCTCCAGTCATGTTTCAGTGATTCCCTATATAATCAACCAAATTTTTCCCACGAAGGGGGGGGGGGGGGGAGGCGTGCCCCCAGATCCCCCCTGGGTCCGCCTATGTTTTGTAAGACGTAACACCAACAAATCAGGCCCGGTCAAAAAGAACATACTGGAAAGCAGTATATATTTAAAAAAAAATGGTTCAGGCCTACGCATAGGTGTTAATATCAAACTATGTATCTATCTTACCTTTTAGAACAAATGCCATCTTCAACTAATCTAAATCAACAATATTTATAGATTATTAATCCTATATTTCAAAATACTTCATTTATTCCATTTTCACCACTTCTTCGTCGACATTCTACACAATGTCAAATAATTTTAAAATATATATATTCAATCTATCACGTTTACTGATTACAGCACATATTCGTATGTTTTTGACCATTTATTACATTCACACTTTTACATATACATTTGTATGATATTTTTATTCGTCAACAACACACATATATCATATCAATATTCATTTTTCGTGCTTTAAACATCACATGTATATTGGGGATATCGCATCGTTCAGATGTATCATATATAATATGCTCAACAGTAACGTCTTAACATGCATGTATTTGAGGGATAAATCCTTTCCGGGAAGGAAATGTTACTTTCACTTTAATCCATTTATTTCTGTAATATATTTATTGTAATACGATAGTGGTATTTTGTGATCTGCTTTTGAAAAGAGATTTGGAACAGTAGCAAAAATTAGTCTACAATTAGTCGTTATGAATTCTTAATAACTTACAAATATTTTTTCTCGAAAGATTTGTTTGTGATATTCACTGTCGTATTCACTATTGTACAATGGCATGACAAATTTAACCCATAAAAGTGTTATTGTCTGTCAATGCATAAGCCAGAGTATCTTTCTGTAACATTGTGAGAGTTGATTGTCATTGTATATGCATTAAAACCCGCCACATTCTATGTGTGCCTGTGACACGTCAAACAACAGTCCACAAAACAATACACAAGACTTAAGTCAGAAGCCTGTATAATTCCAATCACATCACATTCCTCCGCTTGCCGTCGTCGAGTTCGCCTCGTTCGTGCCGATATCAAGCTAATACAGGAGAAGATTACGGTCTGTTGAGTTTAATTGTTTAATTAGCACATAAATAATTTTTGATTTATATAATTTATCTTTCTTTTTAGTAAGTTTATAATTTTCTGTTAGTTTAATTAAATAGGTGTTTATTTTAAGTTAAACAACAATAAGTAGCTACATGCTTTGATACAATATCTGCCCTTGAATTTATACTTGATAACATTTTTGTTCGCTTTGGAGATTCCGTATATCGTCAAGTTATCGGAATTCCAATGGGGACTAACTGTGCACCACTTATTGCGGACCTGTTTTTGTATTGTTATGAGTTACAATTTATGACTAAAATCAGCAAAGACCCATCGAAACAACATCTGATACAAAAAATTAACAATACTTTTAGATATTTGGATGATATATTGGCTCTCAATAATGACGACTTCAGTATGTATACTACAGAAATTTATCCTGTCGAACTTACTTTGAATAAAGCTAATACTAACAATGACCACTGTCCTTTCCTCGATCTTGATATCTATATCATTAACGGGAAGCTTAATACAAAAAATTATGATAAAAGAGATGATTTTTCATTTCCTATCGTTAATTATCCATTTTTAGATGGTGACGTTCCCTTGTCACCATCTTATGGTGTTTATATATCTCAACTTGTACGATTCGCTCGTGTATATAACAACGTATTAGATTTTAGCGAGAGAAATTTATGTACTACTGAAAAATTATTACACCAGGGTTTTCGATATCATAAACTAGTCAAAACATTTACTAAATTTTATCATCGGTATAAGGACATCATTCGTAAATATAACTCAACATGCAGACATCTTATACGTTCGGGTACTTCACATCCAATCTTTTATGGTAATATTTTTTACAAAGCACAAACATGTCAGTATTCACCTCAAAAGCTAACAATACCTTTAAACAGACTTATTAAGAAGGGATATAGTTACGATACTGTTGTCAGGTCATTAAAGATTGCATATTTTGGCTTTAATATTGATTCACTTATAGGGTCTTTGCATCGGAATTAAACATATTTATTCTAAAACCAGTTGCTGGCATTACACGGGTTATGTTCTTCTCATATATTTTATGATGGTATAATACTAAACCCCTAACAGGAGGGATTGTGCAGGATATTCATATGATGAAGACATAATCTTTCGATCGGTTTAATTGAGGTCTGGAGCTGGCATGTCAGTAACTGCTAGTAGTCTGTTGTTATTTATGTATTATTGTCATTTTGTTTATTTTCTTGTTTCCTATTCTGAACTCGGACTTCTCTTAAACTGAGTTTTACTGTGCGTACTGTTGTACGTTTTTTTTTCTACATTGGCTAGAGGTATAGGGGGAGGGTTGAGATCTCAAAAAACATGTTTAGCCCCGCCGAATTTTTGCGCCTGTCCCAAGTCAGGAGCCTCTGGCCTTTGTTAGTCTTGTATCATTTTTAATTTTAGTTTCTTGTGTATAATTTGGTGTTTAGTATGACGTCCATTATCACTGAACTAGTATACATATTTGTTTAGGGGCCAGCTGAAGGACGCCTCCGGGTGCGGTAGTTTCTCGCTGCATTGAAGACCCATTGGTGGCCTTCGGCTGTTGTCTGCTCTATGGTCGGGTTGTTGTCTCTTTGACACATTCCCCATTTCCATTCTCAATTTTAAATCTTAATTCGCGTTTTAAACATAATAAATAAAAAAAAGTAATATAATTATTACCATGAACAAAATGGGTAATAACAAAAGGAAAATTGACTCAAGAAGTCCACAACAAGGGGAATCGCCTGATTCCAAAGCGTACAAACCAAGTCAAGGTACTTCACCTCCAAAACAACAACTGTACGCAAAAAAAGCAAGGGCAAGGGCTTAGCCCAAATACAACTAAAGTAAAAAGCCCGGAATCATCAAATGATTTTCAAACAAAAGGTGTTTCCTCCTAATGAAACACTTATTATCAAATCAAGGGCAAAACAGTTTCTGTTGCTGACACTAAATTCGCTACACTATCTGTTAATAACAATGATAGGTAGTGTCAATAACCAAGCCATAGAGATCAAACCACTTAAGAACAGTGTGCTGGTTTACGCTCCATCAGAATCAATTAGACGCAAAATGTTAGGCTTAAATAAACTTGGTAAATTCCAAATAAATGTGACTAAATTTGATACGGAACATAAAAGAAAAAAACAAGTCAAGCAGCAAATAATAAAGAAAAAACTGAAAATAAGGCCAATGAGGTTAATAAAATTAGAGTCTATAAAGTTATACCTAAACCTGTTGATACGGAAATCATAAACATTAAAAAGCTTCAAATCTTCAGTGTTCAGACAACAGCTAGGTTGTTCAGAAGGAGAACTAATGGTGAGTTCAAATATTATATATATTTTATGTGTCTTAACATGCTCCTTAATTTTGTCCCCTTAACTTTTATTTCAATTAAAAAAAACACACGATGAAATCAGTTTTGAAATTTTCCTTAAGTTTAACAGTTGTATTCCTTTCTTTAAGTATAGATAGGTAGATCAGATAAGATAAGGTAAGATATATTTAGGGCCCACAAGTGCTAAAGATAATACAAGTATAAGGAAAAAGAAGATAAATTAGAATAGATACATAGAATATACATACATAATTACGATACAATTAGACCCTTGGTTTATAGTATATAATGTATTTATATGAGAAATAAATATATATCTAACTCATATTGGTTTGAATAAATAAAGCAGCCTTAAGAACTTGATTGTCTTCACAGCTTAATAAATATATGAGTTTTTGCTGATTGTATAGTAAAGTAAAGTTAGGTATTTTATGGCAAACGAAGTCAAAGAGAGCATCTCTATCCGATTTAAATTTTTCACATGAAATTAAAAAAAGAAGGATACATGACGAACATTCTCATGGTTATATTTCGGGGGTGCCTATATCACGTGGTGGTGCTGTAAAGTGTATAAAAGTACAAATACTTTATGTTTGTAAATAGTTTATACCTTTTGTCTGGCAAATTTCCTATGTATTTAAAACAAAGGATTTTACATGAGGATCTTCCTTATTAATTCAATGGAAATAAAATTATAAAAAATACTATTCATTTTAGGGCATGTAATTGTAAGAGATAAATTTGTCCCACTAAAATATGTCCGGGCGGACACATATTACTAGTATATTTAGTTCATGGTTACAGAATTTACTAGTATATTTAGTTCATGGTTACAGAATTTACTAGTATATTTAGTCCCATGTTAGTAATTCATGTCCACAGACAAATTTTCCTAGGAATTCAAGTCCATGTCATTAATATTCCTAGGTAAAAACGTCCATGTCGTTTTTTTATAGGAAAATATTAATGAATCAAATCATTTAAATTTAAACAATGGAAATTGAAATGGTAAGTTTTATTATTGTTTAAGAGTTGTGTATTTATATCTTTAATAAAAGGTATGTCCCCAAAAAAATGTCCTATTAAAACATGTCCATGTCCTTTATTTTAAAAGGAAAATTTTAACGAAATAATTTATTTACATGTAAGCAATGGAAATTCATTTTTAGCTCACCGTTCAAAAGGAACGGTGAGCTTTAGCCATCACTTGGCGTCCGTCGTCGTCGTCCGTCTGGTGTAAACTATTTCAAACATCTTCTCCTCTGAAACTACTGAACGAATTCCAACCGGCCAAACTAAAGCTGAATGATCCTTAGGGTATCTAGAATAAAGTTTGTGTTTTATTTTCTGTTTCGTCAAAAAAACATGGCCGCCATGGCTAAAAATAGAACATAGGGGTAAAATGCAGTTTTTGGCTTATATCTCAAAAACCAAAGCAGTTGGAGCAAATCTGACAGGGGTTAAAGTGTTCATAAGGTAAAGTTCTATCAGCCCTGAAATTTTCAGATGAATCTAATCACCCATTGTTGGGTTGCTGCCACTAAATTGGTAATTTTAAGGAAATTTTGTAGTTTTTGGTTATTATCTTGAATTTTTTTGGTCTATTGCTCTCTATTATTATATATTTTTTCTTTTATTCTGTATCTATTGCTCAATATTCTCTATTTGGTAAACCCCATCCAGACCTTCATATACACCTGTGACAATTATTTTTGGTTTTTCAGCTTTTTTTCGCTTTTCAATTGTGCGAGGAAATCGTCTTTTTCATCACTTCAGAACTTTATACCACTGTATGATAAATAACAAAACCAGAAAAAATGTAACCTATAGAATTGATGGCTCGCCTCGGTCAAACTTCATACACAGAACAACGATACAAAGATGTTATGTAACACA